GCACAACCACATGGTGCGATCAGAACGAACTGCGAATGAGATGGACGTATTAAAGGCTGTTTATGAACGACTTAGCTAATTATTTTAGGCATATTTTTCCGACCACAGCCAGATTTAGCCCGTTTTACGAACGGTTGATAACTATTTCGGTGTGACAGGGTGGTCAGTCTTAAATCCCAGCAAAGAATAAAATAATGCTTGAAAGTGTCCAATATTGGAAGCAATCTTCAAAAGCATACAGCTAACTTTACCTTTACAATATATTTTTTGCTATCTGAGATATCTGATCAGAAATATAATTGATCAATACCCTGCGCGCAGAGTGCTAGTTATAAACAAAACTACGAAGATGAAGCTCTTTTTGAGAAGCAAAGTCGAACGAATGCAAAGGGTAATTTATCAAAGATTAAAAATGCAATAATGTCCAAATTTTATTGAAATTGAAAAATAATTAATATCATATGAAATGGTAATACAGTCTGTTAACCTGCTTCATAACAACCACTTTAAAATTTAAGATATGTAAAGGCCATTTTGCAATTAAACATATTCATATTGCACAACGAATTATGCCTGTCATTAGCATGGATCGAAAAAGTAATAAAAACGGTACGAAAGTAATTTGTATCGATAGGATATCCTGATAATTTACTGAAAACGGTAAAGTACACAACTATTACTTATATCATATACATACGTGAATATATTTAAATACACATCACGACTTTGTTCATAAAATATTATGAATTCAAATTCAAAATTGACCGTTAATTCCGCATCGCGCGCTCATGATATCCACACCGAGCGTTTTCTGCATGCAAGGCCTGTAGGGTGACTGAGCAGTGTTACTCGAATCTATAGCCAAATTACTTCACACTGTGGCCGAAGAATAAGGGAAGAGCAGTGAAACCGGTGGCATCAGTAAACACTTTTAGACATAAATAGTAGCCCGGGCAAAATTGTTCAAGGGTTACTTTTTATTAAAGTTTAATTAACGTTTTATTAAATAAGTTTCAGAATTATCCAAAACCGATAATATAAGATATTATTTAAGGAACATCTCTTAATTTATCGATATCATGGGCGTTCGTAGTATGAGTGACACAAATATATAATTCGTCATTTTGATTCATATTTGTTCAAAAATGGAAGCATGTTTCATGAATTCAAATGTTCGGTTGAAAATTAGTATTTAAGAAATGTCATGTCGACTTCATGTAGACTGCTGCTTAGGTAATGTGTGCATTTCAAACCTTTTAAATTGACTACTTGAAAAAGTTCAGTGTACGTATACTTTATATGTAGGGTCGCAGGACTTAAATAAGTCTTTTGCCATTCCATTGTTACCTGCAGCAGATAAGCAGCCCTAGTTGAACCTCTCAGCTATGGTGTCATACTACCACCGTTTTTTATGTCTTTCCCAGTCGCACACCTCTTGGCCCATTTTTGGAATGCATATGAATTGTTCTTTGGCTTTTCAAGAGCCTCTGAGATGGCTGTTTCGGCCTCTTGAAAAGATTGGGAACCTACTCTTATCACACCCCACACATCGGGGTGCCTTCTTTTCACATCCTCTTAAACACAACCCCCGGCCATTTCAATAGAATTGAGTTCACGCATCTTGAAGGGAGTATGACTTCTTGTTTTGACGATTGGTCAGTTGTTGTATTACATCAGGATTGTAATGGTTGCAGCATAACCCTTAAGCCTATGACATTTTTTTAAAAAACTTTTAAATTTTATATTAACTTTCAACTGAACAGTCGTATTCATGAAATATGCTGCCATTTTCGAACAAATGTGAGACAAAATAATGAATTATGTATTTTCGTCACTCAAACTATGAACGCCTATAGTATCTATAAATTAAGAGATGCTCTTTAAATATTTTTTATGTCAGAATGAACACTCTAGTGCTCAAATATGTAATCAGTTTTTGATAGTTCTGAAAATGAAAAAGTTATTAAAGAAAAAGTGACCCTTGAACAGTTCTGTCCAGGCTACTATAAGGTATCATGAATGGATTACATATGATATTCTCAGAAAAGTTAAATGGCCGTTATTCAAGAATGACGAATGGGAGTTTTTTTTTGTAATACCCAAGATTGTTGTTTTTTAAATCTACGTGACAACATAGTCAACTAAAACATGGCTGGTTTCCAAAATCCTTTCAAAACATTGTTAACAACAATAATGAAAATAAAGAGGAAAATATTTGCACTTAGTTGTCGAACCGGGGTCTTGGATATTATAAAGAACGTCATGACATACCTTGAAAAAAAAATTCATATTCAATCAAAGTATTTGCCCATTTTGGTCACCCAATTTGCGGCTGTATGAAAGATAGTATTATCATTTGAAATATAATGCTCAAATGCATATGCTCCCTTCAATAGGTACAAAACCTATTATAAGATTGTATTTGGAGATTCGCTTAATTTGCGAATGAGCCATACGTAAGAGTAACAATAGCCCAATACAAGATATGTCATGACTCTGTGTCAGGTAAGAACTCGGATAGTTTCGTTTTGCAGTTCGAAGAAGTTCCAGGTACAAATCTTAACCCCACTCTTTCCTGTCAATCAAAATTTTCAATAGCGTCAGAATTTCAAGTATTCTGGGACTTATTCATTCGATAAATCGGAAATCTAGTTTTACAATTCTGAGAATGTTTTCATAAGTTCAATAGGTAAAGTTCATTGCTCGAAATATTTTGATTAAAATATCTTTTGCTTTAATCCTCATACCAGAAGCGTCATTGATTTTGCAAATTATTCGGAAGATAAGACTGAGATAATGCAATGGTGTAAGAATGGAGCGATTCTCATATTCAGTAAACTTGAAAACGGCAACAATGGCAAGCAACAAAAATGTGTATTTCAAAAAATGTGATCTAAAAGCTGTAAGTACATGTAAGCCCATTTGTCCCGCCTTTGATTTATTAAGCAAACTTCCCTAGTGTTAGTGTAATATTTATTCCCTGTCAAGAAGAAAATGGTATGTGACATGCTAGACACACATCTTTGAGCTGGACTATTTTCTCAATAGTTTAAATACATTTCTCGTCAAAATACCCATGATAATAAAGTCATCAATTCCACGATTCGGAAAACCATGAATAAGGACATGGTTTGGAAGATCATTTTGGCGACCACAATGAGGCTGAAAACAATGGATAGCATGAATTTTTCTCTGTGGGAAAATAACGTGCTATATGTTGCTTCCAACTTTATCGCATTTTAATTTAACCTCCGTTCCACTTTCAAAGTTGCTGACAAGATAGTGCAGAAGAAATGTTTCATGTGGTATTAAAAAGGAAAAAATATTGTCATCTTTTTAAAAGTCCGACATTTTGAAAAATGTGACCCAAGATTTGAATTGATATCCTGATAACTTTAGTTCCAACAAGAAAACATTTTAATGACAATTTCGTATTAAATAATGGCTAGAAGTTGTCCTTTCTATCTAGAGCAAAATAGCCTATAAGCTATTGGGCGATATAAGTAATTTTTAAACTAAGATAGTTTATTATTAGTTTCGATCAAATGGATCTGTTTAATGATATATAGAATTCTATCACTGTCAGTTTATATCGGCCTAGAACATAGTTTTCATTACCGTGTACTCCTAACACACCCTTGGTATACGCAGCTAACGAAAATTGACCGGTACGGGTCAAAAGCTGGACCGGTACGGGTTAACGGTTTTATTTGAATTTAAAACAGCCATAACCTGCTCAATATTGACTTCCTCCTTCCTCTATTGCCCCGAACCGGTCCGTCTTCTCGCTGCAAACAGGAGAAAATTCTTTGTCACAAAGTTTGGCATTTTTTATAAAATCAAACGCGCGTCATTGAAACTCACAAGAGGTAAATAGCATGTCATTTACATCATACCTTGATGGGGAAAAATAGATCTTATATGTTAGAAGTACTAAATAAAAGTTATCGTGAAAATGAGACAGTCGTTCTTGAGAGAAAAGAGCATAAATGCGCATTTAGAGAGTTTTGGTCCGTTTAAAAATCTGTAAAAAATTGGGGTACTTAAAAGCATCGGGAGGCATCATATATTTCAAATTAGACACGAGGAAGTCAATATTGAGCAAGTTATGGCTGTTTTAAATTCAAATAAAACCGTTAACCCGTACCGGTCCAGCTTTTGACCCGTACCGGTCAATTTTCGTTAGCTGCGTATACCAAGGGTGTTACATGTATTTTCAGCATTCTTTGGCAAAATAAACTTTAGCCTACTTAGGCTACTTTTGCACTTCATAGTATTTTAACGGCTTGATAAGTGCTTCGTTTTTCAATGGACAACAAAACAGTTCAAATGGGCTGCATCAGAGCGCTAGCTTTATAATGAACAAATTATTTTTAAAAATTCGATCTATCAATTTTTATAGCCTATATCCAGTTTCCAATGTCAATGAAAGATGGCGAAGTTATTTGCTTCAAATGAGTCATTTTTTGATAGAAGTGTCTCCATCTTTTCAATCAATAATTATTTAAAACATGTTGGGGCAAAATCCCACTTGCCCCATCGAGTCCCATATTGCCCCTTCGAAGCCCAACTTGCCCCATCGAATCCCAGAGTCACACGTGACCTTGATGACTTTGCCCCATTGTGCCCCATGGAGTCCCATATGTCCCGTCCCCACCGTGCCCAATAGGTGTATGTTGGGCTTCACACAACACGCAATATGATCGAAAATCTCACGATGCCCCAAAGCCCGGTATAGGTTACAACAATGGGGCAAGTTGGGGCTCCATAAACTTAACATTGCTTGGGACCTCGTGGGACCTTTTGGGATTTTACCCCATAGGCTAGTCCATGGGCCTTCATGGGACTCCGTCGGATTTTCCCACATCTTGCCCCGAGCCACATTCATGAAGTCATTTCCGTGGGACCGAGTCGATCCCGGCACTCGATTGGGCTTCATGGGACTCCATTGGATCTGATGGGACTTCATACGGGTCAATGCCGGGCTCAGTGGGGGAAGTTGGGATTCGATGGGGCAAGATGGCACTCGATGGGTTCGCACCCATCTCCCCCTGGCCCATGGTATATTTTGAACATTTATCCGACGGTATTCAAGCAGCGTCGGATTCCCGGGAATAAATGATTCAGAGAAGTGGGCAGGAACGCACCGAACGAACTGCTTCTGAGATATGGCAGAACATCCGGTATGTATAAATTTTTGTATTTCTTCTGTTTTCTTGTGATACAGTCATATTTGTGTGTAATTGTTATATTTTTAATATCAATCGCAATACGCATCGTCATATCAAAGTGAAGTTTGGAAGTGTTTTAACTTAATGTGTCTAATACTTCTCATTTTATAGAATCTACTTTATTATCGCCCACTCACTGCGACAATTTTATTCCTAGTCTTCGTCTATGTCAATAATCTGCAAAAGGCTAATAAGCCCATATAGAGCAAAGATATAATTTAACAGCCTTTAAGTCCACTCGCGTAGCTAAGCAGACTTAATTTGCTTGTTTGCGGACAATACTCACGTGTGTTTGACTATAGTGCCGGTATATTACTCGAGTCTCTAGCCAATTCTTGGCTAGAGGGGATTTCATCTGGAATACTGTGAACTCTATTTGAAAAAAGCTGGCCGTGGTGTCATAAATTTATTGAATATTTTAAAAATCGCCAGATAAATAAATCATTAATCAAACCGGACCCAGCTCGGCTCCTTGATGAGATATGAGATGATTTCATCAGGATTTCGTCTAAAATTAAAACAAAATGGCTCCAAGAAAAATAGCGATGTTCGAAAACTGGACGAAATGTCGTTAAAGTCTGACATTAGTAACTGGCTGTAAATTCTAAGTTAGCGATCCAGAAGATGTGAACTAATACACTGATCACTTTATGTGTGTTTTGGAATTTTTGGTGAGGTAATAAGACCAAAACTCGCAATTCAAATTGTAATGTAGAAAAAGGCGGACATATGATTTCAAATTTTATGATTACGACATGACCAGTTGTTCATGCAGGAATATATCTGTACTGGAAGGCCACGATACAGTGGCCTTAGAAGAAGGTAACCGGTATATAATAATAAAGGGTGTGTTTTCAAACTAAACAGAGTGCTCCTACCAAAATAAATTTGCCTACATACCCCTGAGACTCGTATCTGATAGATAGAATGCACAAATAAAACAAAAGTTTTGCTATTATAGGTAAAAAGTTCTCTTCAAACTTCAAAGTGATTTCACCTCTTATTCTGTTTATGGTCTGCCATTTTTGCGGAAGTTACACTGAAATGCAAACTCCATGAAACCAGAAACGAACTCACTAGAAAAAACATGCCACACATTGTGCGCATGTGCAGCAAAGTTTAAACCAATCCGATTATTTGATTATTTTGCGCACACAAATTATTTGCTTCTGAGCACTTACAAGCTTACCACAATAAACAAACCTGGCAGAGACTACCCATAGCCTACTTCATTTTGGTGAAATTTCTGCTCAAACTCGTGACAAATGCATTATGCTTACGCTGGTGTGAAGCCTTGGAGACACTCATTTTGGTAAATATGATTTATGGTGTAGGCCTATACTTCTCTGCAGTTTGTGGGAGTTTGGGACATTAAATGTTAAAATTCAAGAAAATATGCCTATTAAACGACTTATCAATTAATATATACCAGCACTATATATGAGTTGCGTACAAAAAGCACTATCCTTCTTTCCAGAATAATAGATATATGGGCTTTCGATCTAGTTGAAAGCCCATGCTACAACTTATGTTCTTTTAAGGTCATTATATTGTGGACATTTCGTCCAGTTTTCGAATATCGCCATTTTTCTTAGAGTAATGGTAATCTACAACCATGGGCTTTCAAGATACTGTTGAAAGCCCATGCTACGACTTAAAAGAACACAAGGCTCTTTTAAGGAAAGGTTTAAGGGTCTGTCTTCCAGGTTTATTATGTAAATCCCGACTGTGCATATATGGGACATACCCAAAAGGTATTATATTACCATAAGCTTTCTCTATTGAATTATTGAATGCCCATGGTATTACTCGCTCCATTGGTGGTAAACAAAATCATGAGCTTTCAATAGAAATTGAATGCCCTGATGACAAAATGCAATACAATACAATACAATTTTGACAACCCTCCTGCATACTTTTGCTGTTTTACAGGTACTTGCTACTTTGGTAGTTTATCTATTTTATACTCAATGGTTATGATCCATATACTAGTATGCCTGGCAGTGCTTTATCCTTTAGAATACACTGACTGTAATGTTGTTGTCTGGACACTTGCTGCTTGATTTCACGTGTCATCCTCTGTTACATTCACTTGTTGTGGCTAAATTGTTAAAAGTTCAATATGTTAAAATTATACAGTTCAGTGTTTATACATGGTGCATCTCTTTACATGTATGCCTAGGTCACATTTGCTCCAATTCATCGGCCGGTGCATGGCTGATTGAGTATTTTGTTCAAAATTGAAGTTCAAATCTCAAAGGAGGAGGGAAAGTATCGCAACAGATTTCAGACAGTCATATGTTGGATTTTGGCTATTTTCTGAGGATTTAAACAGGTGCATATGTTAGACCAATACATTACCTCCAGGAAAAGCACGTACGGGGCCTGATGTAATTTGCCTGTGTAATAGAGAGAGGGTACACATTGAAAACCTTTATTGTATTTCTTTAAATTATTTCTTGTATACCCTTTTTTAGATGGAATAATATGGATTCAGCATTTACAGCAATATCAAGGCTATGGAAGCAATTATGTAAGTGTATAAAGCCCATGTCATAAGATACAATTTCCAATAATTTTTTCTCATCTTTGTGTAATTGAACCCTTATTTTACCCGTTTTGCAGAAAATATGAAATAAGTAGCTACAAATGAGTGCAGTGCTTGGTTGCTTCAGTTTTACTACATGTATGTTAGAGCACATGTGTATGTTTATTATCTGTGCACTAAATCATCATTTTACCCATGGGTTTTACCATATCATCTGAACAAAATTTATCAATTTAGGTTTTCTTCATCTGTCATTATTTGGATACCATCCCTAGAGCTAATGTATTTTGTGTTTTCAGGGTGCAATGACTGTGCAGTATCCTATTCCAGTGGTTGTCCTGTACATGGAGAACTAAATGTCATACAGGATGAGTATGTTCCTCCAAGAGCCATTTCCTCTCTGCCTAATGTTTTCTCTATGGTTCAACAAGGTATGTTACAAAACGAGGCATGAACATGTAATATGTTACCACCTGCCATTTGTTACAGATGGCAAACACTGGCCATCAAACGCTGAACACCAACCAATGAACACAGAATACTAGTACTGTCCACAAAAATATGGAGACCATAACAATATGTCAACACTTGTGGTGGTGACTTAAAAATAAGACTGTGTGAGGTATATTGTTCCCTTTCAACAGATAATATCGAAAAAAATGTCTGAATAATATATTTCTGTAAATTTTGATAAACATGTTGCCTTGTCAGCCTAATGCCTGGCTACATCCATGAAAGGGTGTCAGATTTTAAAGATTTAACCCAGAACTGATTATATACATGTAGGCATCTAAAATATGGATAATAGATGTTTGGATCACTGGATCAGATAAACATTCATTTATCCTTGTAAACCAATGGTGGTGTTATACAGGGTTGGCCAATAAAAATTGATGATTTAAAAATGGTCACTTCACATTCTTGGTACTAATATCGCTTACTATAATATAACTACATATGAGTTTATGTTGATTAAGTTACATCTCTTTTGAAAAGGGATATATTTGCAAATTTCAAAATAAAATCACAAATGCTGTCACAAAGCAACTATTAATCAGTATAATCTGATACTACAAGGCAATTTTTGCATAAGTCATTCATTATTTGAGGAATAAAGACCGAGATTGTATAATTTATGGTGTGATATATGACCGAAAATTTTAGTCTGTTCATTTTTAAAAGACCGAAATCGCGTAGCGATTGAGGTTTTTGGCAATGGCCAGAATAAAATTTGAGGTCATATATTTGACATAAATCATAAAATCAAGATTTTTGTTCGATTCAATTCTAATATGATAAACAGACAAGAAAAACAACTTTTTTGCATTTATGAATTTTAGCGGTACTACAATACTCGAATATAGACCAGTAAATTAATTCTACTTGCTATTGTGACATCACGTTTCATATTAGAATTAGTGTTATTTGAACAAAATATGATTATAATGTCTTCTTGAAAGATCAAAATCAGATGGTCCCAATGTGTAACAATTGCAAGATCTTAAGAAATTGAAAAAATGACCTCGATAATATACATGTACTGTATTGTATTGTATTTTGATTACCACCAATGAAGGTGAGCTACCGCTGAGCTACATGGGTGGACATTGTACTGTAGATTTGCACATTCAATCTTGATGTATCATATGTCAAATCATTGGAGATTAGATCCATTTTTCCAATGGTATATATGAATGTTGTGTTGGTGTAGGTGCCTCAAGAATATATTAATTAATCAAAGGAGTTTTGCCCCACCCTGTACAAACTGTATGACACATATCTGAACACATCATTTGAAATGAATAACATCTTACTTGTGTGCTGTGAGATATTGAGCCTGTGTACTTTGCCTAGATGTTGTTAAATGATGCCGGATTCTACAATTGCAGATGATTCAAAAACAATTAGTATCTACGCCACGACCACTCTATCCAAAGGTACGCGGTTAGGTCCTGTAGATGGAGAGAGGCAGGAATGGAATGACACAACAAGTCTCGAAGATAAATGGGTGGTAAGTCACTCTACTGCAGTGCTGCACTATCAACAGTACTGCCCTGATTATGTCCAAAAATGTCTTGTGAATACGAAAAGTTAAAAATATTTCTGATGAAATTTAAGCTGGTGATCCCAATTTAGGAATGCCAAGTAGAAACTACCTGTATGATTTGATAAATTAACTCAAGGACTTGTTACATACTGACTCAGTAATATTCAATTAAATCCTCTCTACATACACCACCAGTTACATGTATATGTACTCTTAGACTATTAAATGACTTATTGCATGTTAATTTCTCCAGGTGTTCAACACAAATGGCCCTTCAGTATCAATCCAACAAAACTGTTTAAACACCTCAAACTGGACAGTGTTTCTGAGCCAATCAGAGGACAGGAACCTATGTAATCTGGTAGTATACCAACATATGGAGGACCTGTTCCTAGTGACTAACAGAGAAATTCAGCCTGGAGAGAAGTTACTCTTTGAGTATAGTGAGAGCTATAAAACATGTCAGCAGCTAGCCTCTGAGGTTATTTGTCATATTCCAAGTAAGTTTGCAGTAGTTGAGTACAAAATTGGAAATAATAATGAACATGATCGAAAAAGTTTGAAGATGTCTCTTTTTGTCAGCACTGAAATTCAGATTCTTTTTCCTTTTTCATCTCTAATCAATCATATTTCAAGTCTAATACAAGACATTCTTACATTTATAATAAAATTCTAATAAAAAAGAATTGAGACAACTGATCAAAAATAGAAGTTGTTGAAGATTTAGAATGCAGAAATGTCTGAATTCTTTAGAATTGAAATAAATGGATGCTTACATGTATGTTAGAGAATAGGCTTGCCATTCTTTTCAATGTTGTGAGTAAAAAATATTGTGAAATTATGAGAAAAAAATATTGAGAAATTTATTTAGAAGGTTTCTCTCAACTCATCCCTTTAAATGCCCAGAATATTCTTTCTGTAAAAAGTCAAGTGAGTAATCCCAATATATGTGGAGTAGTTTTTATACATGTTTATATTGTGGTATGTTTCAGTGGTGCATGTGATAGAAGAGCTCAGTGGTGACAACATGAGTGTGGAATATGAGACTAAACCTGACACAAATGATGACTTACAGCTTTTGGACAACCAGTCTACCAATAATTCCTTTAAAGGTAAAGACAATATTCCTGCGACAACAGAGACACAAACACCATTGAAAGATACCAGGACTCATCTATCTATAGCAGCTGATGTTTCAGAGCCGTCTGTTGTTCAGAGTACAAAAGACAATATTGGGAAACTGAACCAGCCAGACACCTTTGGGAAAGTTGGAAGACCTCGCAAACCTGATACTTGTGGAAGGGTTGGAAGACCAAGAAAGACCAACCCTTGTATGAGAGGTGGAAAGATCTCCAAATCAAACAATACAGTCAGTGTGTCTTCTAATTTGAAACAAAGTACATGTAATAAACTAAAAGTAGGGAGACCTCGTTGGAAAGTTCAAAAAGTAGAAAGCCTTGATAATGATCTGGATATTGATATTAATGATGGAAATGAAAACACTCTTTGTAAACAAGTTGAAAATATAGAAAGTCATGATTATAGCCAAAATTCTATAAGAAAAGAAGGGACACCATGTAAACAACTCAAATATGTAGAAAGTGATGTCGGTAATGAAGAATTTGATGGTAATGCCGAAAATGATAACACCGAAACACAAGGAGAGAAAATGAAAGGAAATATAGGAATGCCAAGTAAAGTAGGAAGGCCATGTAAGAAACAATTACAAAATGATAATGTCATCTTCAATAATGATTCAACATTGGCCACATCAAGCTCAAAGCAGGTGAGGAAATGCAGTAATGAAGATGAAAGTCATGTAGATAAAGCAGCCAAGGAAGAGGTTGATTCAATACCTTCCTACAAAACTCGCCACATCTTTCCACAATTGATGGGTCCAGCACAAGAGGTGAATGTAATTACTGTTGTTAAAGAAGAGCTGAAAGCGATGGCTGATGACCAGGTCGACAAATTAGTCCAAGCTCCTGTTATTGTCAAAGATCCTTCTGCCCCTGATCACAACCCAGCTAGACATAGAGCTAGAGGACTTATAGGTTGGCATTTGAATATGCAAGCGCCACACTATAAATACAAGGAGATATATAGAAAAATTTATGAAGGTGTAAAGTACCAGATGACTTACAAGACAACTGGAACTGGAGTATATGAAATACACACAGAAATCATATGTAATCATCCTAATGACACAGTATCTAATTTACTTTTATATGGAGAGACAAAAAAACCTGAACCTGCAATGAAAGCTGCATACTCCAAAATTTCAGAGTCTATTAATATTGATATGTATGAAATGCAAGTGAAGCATTTCAAGAATTACATACAGGCAACTGACCATCGAAGTAGTGTTATCAACAGGGATGGAAAATGTATAAAGGTACATGACTTTAGCATTGAACCAGCAATCAATGAGGACTTATGTTACATTTGCTTTATCTGTAGCCCGATACGTATTTATCCCCAACAGAACTGTGCATATTATCGACGACATGTGAAGTACCATTTTAAGGATTTGGTCTGTGAACAATGTGGTGAGAAATTCAAAAGAAAAAATGGTCTTAAGAAACACATCCGAGTTCACCACACAGTAGACAGGCCAAAGAACTACAAATGTGATATGTGTGTGAAGGCATTCAGAACCCCTACAGAAATGAACCAACATAGGAAAAATATACATGACCCCAATCGAGAGCGCCCTCTATGTCCAGAATGTGGCAAAACATTTTCCAATGTTAATATTCTGAAACGCCATCTATTGACTCATTTAGATATCCGGCCATATGAATGTAATATTTGCACAAGGAAATTCACACAAAGTGGAGATCTGAAAATACATAAGGAGAAGATACATGTGAAAGGCTCAATTCGCTTTCAACCAGTACACTATCTTGAGCTAGCAAAGAAAAGATTATCTCAATTAAATTCTAGTAAAAACAGTACAGTGATCTATAAAGATATGCCATCACTTTCAATTGACACCTCAGTGAGGCATATTGATGATCTTTCTAATGACAGCTCAGTGAGACAGATAAATGGTCTACCAAATGACACCTCAATGAGGCAAATAGATGGTCTACCTAATGACACCTCAATGAGGCAAACTGAAGATTTACCAAATGACACCTCAATGGGGCAGATAGATGATTTACCAAATGACACCACAATGAGGCAAATTGATGATTTACCAAATGATATCTCAATCAGGCAAATGGATGATCTACCTAATGATACTTCAGTGAGACAAATAGATGGCCTACTAAATTACACCTCAATGAGGCAAATAAATGATCTAAATAATGAAAACTCACTGAGGCAAATAAATGATCTACCTGATGACCATTACCATGAACACATATAGACAACATAGAGATTTTTGTCAACAACTGTTACCATGTCAACAAATTGGGATAATTTAGTAATGGGCTTAATGTTCATCTGCTGAATAAATGCTAGTTCTGGAAATGAACATTATTGTGATCATGATCTTTAATCTTCCTCGAATATCTCTTGATTTGGTTAACATTAAAGAGATGCATTTTAAGTGTAAGGAATAGTTTGGGAAAAACATATTTTGTTCAGTAGGATTGGCTATTCTGCTCCAATGTGCTCCAACTTTTTTTGTGGACAGTATTGGCTAGTCAGCCATACCAAAGGCGTTTGCATTTTAATGCCTTGTTTCTAGTTAAAACGCACATCCAAAGTATTTTTTATTTCATTATTATGAGGATGGATGGTCTAAAATTGAGAATGATAATATGAACTACTAGTAACTCAAAGGTTCCTTACAAAACTTACACAAGAAGTTATCTGATAGATTTCATTTTTTTTTTATTATTTTACATGTTATTTATTGAAGGCTTTACATGTATTGTTATAAATTTGGTGCAATATATTTTAATTTTATTTGTTTTTTGGTCATTTTTGGAATATTGGTTTTATTCCAGAAATTTTTAGTCAAGGCTATAGTACTTTGGTCCATTGGTGCAATCTTCAGATCCACCAAAGTCAAATGAAAAAAGGCACCAAATACAATCTACTGTATAGATACATGTCATGTACACTTAATTTGGTACCTGTGTTAGTTAAGTGAATTTGGTGGATTTTTTCAAAAATCGTTCAATTTTCAGATGTACATGTATATCAGAAAATCCCAAATCGTTGAAACTTAACTAACATTTCACTTGTATTTGTATTTGACCATTGCTTTACCAAGACTTATTGGAAGAATAAGCAAATCCCCAAAATTTAAGTAGCATCAAATTAAGTGTATCTACAGTACATAAATCAATTTAGACATAAATCAATAATTATTAATTACATACATGATGTAAATGGGAGGTAAACTTGTTTTTACATGTATATCTTGATAATGTCTGATTCTTGGAATACTGTATGTTTTACTGGGAGAAAACACCTCCAGTCTGGAGTAAGTTGTCAACAAGTCACTACATAATCATGAATGATGCATCATTTAATCATCATTTAATATACAATGTTTCACCCTGTCAATAAAATACATAATGAAAAAAATGTTCCTCTCTTCATGTAAATCTAATACAGTCATACATGATTTCTCCAAAGCATAAAAATATGCATTTGAAATTTCATTACAGATAATATTATTATTTGCACTTGGATCAAATGGAAATGAGGACAGGTTTCAGCACAACCAAGCTTCCTTCTTTCCAAAGTGAAGGAATTCATTTTCAAATATCCCAACCATTTCTGTAATTCTTTTATAATAATTGAAATATAAATATATTTCAAAACTGGAACTCAAAACAACTTGCGTTTAGAATACTGAGTTGAAATTTGAAGGAAGTTAGTGATAAAATCAAGAAAAAAAACTCAAAATTTGCACCCTGAAGTGCACCAGTGCTGAAACAAGCACAACTTGTCCTCGTTGATTCCCAATGATTAATTTTGTTACCTGATTAAATTCAAATCACAATATTTTTTGCAATGTTTTGCAAAACCTGTGTAAAGTCACCCTCGCTGGTATAGGAACTGGCTAATAGTGAGATCGTAATTATAGGAAGTTATGACCAAATCTTGGCAAGTGCAAAAATGCAACTGGAAAAGCATGCACATTTTAGATATTCCCTCTTGTAGAGGTGTTCACTAAGCTTTCCTGTAATGTAATATCATGTTGAAAAATCAGAAATGTAAAGTAATACAGTATTTCTACATCAGATTTCAATATAATAGCTGCATATTTTGTCAATCTACAGGGTGTCAAGATACAATGGCACCCTGTCATTTCTTGACACCCTGTATACCATGGGAAGTATCCTGTGGCTCCCCTACTGTACTATGAGCTTGTGGAGCTCAAAGTATTACAAGGGTGTGCAGTTCAGTATAATCCAGAGTGACCGACTATCCATGTTTCGGAAATTACCATGATCCCTAATATCATAAAATACACTTCTTCAGTGAATGCTAAACTGCCACTAATTTTTCCATTGTTTTAAGTCGATCCCTTAATAAGATAGTTTGAAGGAGTCCTATATTGTATAGTCAAAAGGGAATTGACCTTACTAGACACACCTTTTTCAACATTATTGTTAGATAATCTTAAAAATCTTAATACTAACCTGAAATAAAATCAAGACTAATAAAGTCAGACATATAAATGTAGGTCTCCTTCAAACCAATTAAATAGAGTCTAAATACTTAATAACAATGGAAAAAATATTTGGAGTTAAATGTGTTAACATTTCAGGGTTCACACTTTGAGCCTGTCATAGATAATATGCACAAAGGCAACCTTTAATTAAAAACACTAAATGTCTTATAAACCTTACCACCTAATAAACACAAAAATAAAAGTAGTGCCATGGATTTGGGTTGATGTTAAATGTGGTTACATTTCACAGTATTCACACAGTGAGTTAGTGAAAGAAAAAATAAATGATAATGTCTTAAAAAGTGTTCCCATGTCATTAGAGGCTTCACATCTACCTTAAGTTTCCTTTAGAAAGAATGTCCTCAAATAATGTATAATTACACAAAACCCTGCAGCAGTTACTGGCAATGTTTTACCTGGAATTAAAAAAGAACAACTATTCAAAATATCAGTTATGGCAGTATGATTACAGGTTCACAAAATATTTACAGCAACTTAGTACCCTTTGCAGTCGCTTGACTTCACTTCTTAAAAGAGAGCTTCGTCTTCACTCTTTCAAACTAAAATAAACCTGTGAACTCACCGCGCCAATCAGTGTTCGTCGGCCAAATTTGACCGACGTTCTTTATATGGTCATTCCTTCTGACGTCATCGTTGAGCCCTGAATTGACCAATGACATGCACATATTTAATTAGAACGCATTTGGCGTATGTTTCTTCAAGCTCGCTAATTGGTGGAAGGTCAGCGCGTAGGTCAAAAGTGATTTACCCAAACTGTCACCGGTACCTGTCGTGGAGGCGGGGCTACTAAACTGTAATATGGTCTCTACTAGGCAGAGTGTAGTTTAACTAGACTCTGCACGCAGGGTAGCAACTTAGCTAATATAAATTTAAACAAAAATAGTGCAAAGATAGAGAAATATGCAAAAAGTAGCCAAAAGTTATTATTCAGAAAATAGTTTTCATGTGGTCCTTAGTTAAGATTTTTTCTCACTGGTATATCATTAATTGTTCTATTGCTCTATTGCAACATACACCGTACAGTGTAGCAGTGAGCAAACTAATTTAGAATTGGTTAAAAACTCATCCCTGTCTTATAGTCTTAAAGGCAGAATCTGATCTATAGGGGGTGACAAAATTACAAGCAACATGTATAATTGACCTACCAAACTATTCCTTACAATATCAAAACAATATCTCCCAAAAGATTCACAATATGTTATAAATTGGTGAAGTTATTAATGATTCAAAGTGCAAAATTGAGTGAAAAATGTTCAAATTCTCCCAAATAATAAGAATGGTAACCATTCTTATAGAAAAATAATACATTTTTGTAAAAATCTTTAGTTTTCCTGGAATAAAGTATGCACTTTTGTGATTTTTAGAAAATAGGCATGACAAGGAATGACATGAGTCAAAAATATTCTAAAATCGAAACAATTTTTTGTTTAGCCTGCTCGCTATATCTGATTCTCTCTTTAACTTAATTTCTGTTATCTTCAACAAGATAACAAGAACAAAACAAGGCATTTAACATGCAAAATGTCACCACCTTTGTTACAGACTCCAACCATCGAACCAAACCCCTAATGCCAACCGCTGAACATGATCCTCAAAAAAGTTGGGGACAATAATTAAGGTGGTGACATAACAAATAGTACTAATAAGTAATTACTGTACCTGCGTAAAAACCTCAGGAATTTTAACACTGATTTATTTTTGGTCATAATTGTAGCCAGAGATCCAATTGACGTGGACAAAGTTTTAGGAATCCTGAATGTTTGGAATAGAGGGCCCATAATGTTGGATTCCAGGTGACTAGGAAAAGACTGCTGTAAAGAAAATACATAGGCCTATTGTACATAACTGTTGCTTTATTAAACTCTTCAACAGTATTTCTAAATGTTGAATTGATTATTCAAATGTAGTAGGCCAATAACATATGGACAATATGCAATAGGCTGCACTAAATCATTGTTTTTTGAATGAACAGAACTCTATGACAAACATGGCCTCTTCCAAGGTGGTTCCAAAGTAAATATTTTTCATTTTGGGCCTAGAAATGGGCTTTTTGGGCCTCGTTTTCATTTGATATTAATTTTTGAAAGATGACCAAAATGAATGATAAAAAGTCAGTGCCCACACTTTTTCAACATGCAGAGTGACATTTACATTTTTAAGGTCCACCTCTAGAACTACATGAATATCATACAATGACTGTAAATGCACTTCAGTAAAAAACCATTTGAAATATGACTTTTAATGTTGAATTTTTTATAAGGGACATACATGTACTGTACACAAAAGCCATGTTGTTCCAATGATCTCCAGTCAGCATACCTTGGATATTTGAAGGTCACGTTTTGCCCCATCTACAGTATTCCTTATGAGCATAGCTACAGTCATAGGCCCTACACCACCAGGTACAGGAGTGATCCATGAAGCTACCTCCTTGCATTCCTTATAGGCCACATCTCCTACCAATCTCTGACCACTCTTCTTAGTAGCATCTGAAATATACAGCACAATGAAATTGTACAATTGAATATGAATATACAACAATTGTGAATTTCATGAATTGTCGTCAAAGAATTTCGTGGGTCTTAATGATAAAAAAGTCTTAAATGGGACAAACAGTGTTATGACCAGATTGTTATGGTGACAGGCAATATCCTTTTAACCCACAATTATGGATAACATTTGATTGAACAATTTTTGAATACATTTCAAAGAGCTACATGCTCCAGATGATTAACAAAAAACTTTGGCTGAGAGAAAAATTGATCATTGATTGATGTTTGTCAACTACTATAAATATTCAACCTGGAATTGCATTGATGCCGCAGTCTATAACAACAGCTCCTGGTTTCACCCAATCAGCTTTCACCATCTCTGGTCTCCCAACAGCGGCCACGAGAATATCTGCCTCCTTACACTGCGAGAACATTTATATTTATATTCTTTTTTTCATTTTCATTCATTCAGTTACAAGTAAACATTGATTTCTAGTTATATTCCATTTATAGCCTAGTATAGGTTAACCTAAACAGATTTAGTGCCTATTTTTGACCCAGTCTCTTAAAAATTCAGAACAACCTATTATATACAGTACATATGCAACATCAATAAAACTTGATATAAATGCTTGTTCCTTTTCAAATGTTAAACCCTTACTGTTGCTTGCTTCAGAGCCAGTATTATAAACTTTCCAAATTGCCAAATTAAGGCAGGTGCAGAACTAAAGTAAATGTACAAAATGGTAATTAAACTACTGATATTAGAACCAGTACATCATAAACAAGTTTTTATATGTTACTTTAACTTAATTTGGCAGCCGTTTTAATTTTGATGGATCCACCAAAATGTAAACAATCGTCAAATTCCCCAGTAATTTTAGTACCATGCATATTACTTACCATTAGTACATTGTATTAATGCAAGTTCACCAAATTAAGTAACCAACAAAATGTTCAGAACATCAAATCCACCAAAATAAGTAGCGCCAAATTAAGTACAAATAATCCCTAATTTTCTTCATTATCCTGCATTCATGAAAGATATCAGTCATAATTTGTTTTAGTAGAAGGTATGGTACTTACTACTGAAGCAAGATTCTTAGTTCTGGAATGGCATATGGTTACTGTAGCATTGTGCCATGTGAGGAGGTTTGCCATTGGGGAACCTACAATCTTACTACGCCCCAACACAACAGCACGAGCCCCTTCCACTTCAGCACCTAGAGAAAATCACGATACAATTAACTAATGTAGCAAGGGATTTATTAGAATACCTTAGCATTAGTTAGAGTTCTGAAATTCTTCAATTTATTTCTGTTCTTCTAAATATGAACTTGGGGTTTTCTTTGCCACTATGGGCTATCACTGATGGCTGATAAGAGGATACCAATATCTTCAAATTCTATTCACCATGGATCAGGTTCTGTCTTCTCTCAACAGACGCATGCCCTGTGACCCCCACCCAATACACATCAGACTTGCATTAGCCAGGTGTAATAATTCTTAGCTGCTAGTCCATGTAAATCCTCCCCTACTATACACATACCCCCAGCACATACTTCATCCCGAGAGGTGAAGTAAAAACAGAAATGGAGGGGTTGCTGATAACAGCTATGGGACTGGTGTACTCTCTGAAGTTTTATTTTTCTTGCTGTGTTCTATTTTTGGTCATTTTCCTTTTGGCACTTGTGCATACATATCTTTTCATATCCTCTTAAGTTACCTGCTTTCTTGATAAGCTCTAGGCATCCTCTAGGAGTGCATGGGACAATACAGTTAGACATGTCTCCCCTGGATAACATGGCAGCATTCTCACCATTCAGTCTACAATATAGAGCTGGGTATTAGGTCCTATAACATCCACAATCAAAACTTACACTTCTTAGCAAAATGGTAATTTTGAATTTAAAGTAGACAATTGTTTTCTAAGAATCAGAATTAGTCACGATCTTGCCAAAAATAGACCTGAGAGTGTGTGTTATTAACAGGCACACCACACTAACAAATAAATTGGAAGAATAGACAGAGAACTTCTCTACATGTACATTATATCCCAACCTTGGTTTTTGGAATTATGAATTAAATCATTCAGATCAAAAAGTGCCCTTTTAGAATTAGTTATGGTAACTCCATTTCAAACAAACGAGCTCTCTAAAACAATTACTTCAACTGGACACTTAGGTTTATTGTGTACATTTTTACTCTACATGTATTTACTCTCAGTGTTCTAAAATAATGTATTTTCTTACTTACCCATCTACATCTTTCTTTGGTGCTATTGAGTTAATTATCAGGTCTGTATTGATATCATTGACAGAGTCCAGTGGCAACTAAAATAGTCAAATAATACTGAGTAAGTTTCTTCATTTAATATGGCGGATCCACTGAATTGTTAAAGTCCGCAAATTAAGTAGCGGCCAAATTCCCTGGTAATTTAAGTACCATGTAAAGTAGTACCATAAGTAACTTGTAATATTGCAAGTCCGCCAAATGTTCAAAACAGCAAATCCACAAAAATAAGTAGCACCAAATTAAGTAGAAGTACAGTAAAACAAATATGCAATGACATTATATTACACAGTTTGACACTTTATAAATATAAAATCATTTTTGTGACATTTTCAGTGACATCATCCATGATTTAAAGATGTGCCATGATTGCAATTAATGACATACAGTACCTGTACATGTGTGCAACTATATAGCATACATATACTAAAATACACAGGCAAATTACATCAGGCCCCCTACGAGCTCGTATGAGCCTCGAGAATTACGAGTCATTACGGACAAAAAGGAGCACCATCCTCATACGGGCTCGTACGAAGCTCGTTTTCGAGGCCCGTGCGAGCTTGTACGATGCTTGTAATTGTTGTTTTCGAGGCCCATACGAGCACATACGAGGCTCGTAATTTCGAGACCCGTACAAGCTCGTACGAGGCCCGTTATCGAACTCGGAACAAAAAAATAATTTTTCTATGAATGTTCATCTCTCTGGTAGTAATGTACAAAGTTGTTGATTTTCTTTCTCAGAGATATTTCTTTTTTCTTTTTGACGTTTCATAGGATGTCCATCCTACTTCTTCAGAAATAAAATTATATTTGAATCAAACTGAAATAATTAATTATTACATAACAATGAGACAAATAGCAACCATTACTAAAGAAAACTTCATTGATGGTACAATTAAAAATTATTGAGAAAAATAGCAACCATTACCATAAAAATTTAATTTAATTTAATTGTATATTACATCATTGAAGCACATTCATGTTTTTCTTCAAACATTCAAGAACGATAACATTTATTTACATCACATTTCAACTTATTCCAATACCGCACGCAAATGTTGTTATATGCATTTACTTCACCTGTAGAGAAATATGATGTCTCCTAATATTGGTAACCCTCCTGTTTATTTTGTTTCCTAGCTTTTATACTGTTTATCATGTTGATACAGACATGCAAATATTTTGACATTATTGAAGACATATTAATTCACAATTAGATATAATTGAAATGTCATTTCTCAAGAACGCTGTATTTTATTTTATCAAGCAAAAAGTGTTCATCAAAATCAATGAGCAATTACGAGCCTCGTTACGAGCCACGTAAGGGCAGGTACAGTGCTTGAAAGTTACGAGCCATTACGGGCCTTGTTACGGGCATCACACAGACAAGTACAAGGCTCGAAAATTACGAGCTATTACGGGCCTCGTAACCGGCACCGAACGAGCAAGTACGGGGATCGAAAATTACGATTTATCACGGGGTTCGTTACGGGAACTGTACGGTCAAGTACGGGGGTCGAAAATTACGAGCTATTACGGGCCTTGTAATCACAAGCTCTTACGAGGCTCGAAAATTACAAGCAATTACGAGACTCGTAACGAAGCCTGTACGAGGTTGTACAGGGTCCGTTGACACAACGAGCTCCGTACGGGCTTGTACGGGGTCCGATGTAATTTGCCTGTGTATTACATACATGCACTGTAACATACCTGTACTCTAACATACTTGCACTAAAACATACCTGCACTGAACCATACCAGTACTATAACATGCTTGCACTATAACATACCTGTACTATAACATACCTGTACTTTAACATGCCTGCACTATAACATATCTGCACTTTAACATACCCGTACTATAACATACCCACACTATAACATAGCCACATGATAACACACCTGCACTATAACATACCTGCACTTTAAAATACCTGCACTATAGCATACCTGCACTTTAACATACTGCACTATAACATACCCACACGATAACATACCTGCACTATAGCATACCTGCACTTTAACATACCTGGACAATAACATATCCGCACTATAACATACCTGTACTATAATGCCATGTGTGTTTACATCTTCATTTAGACTGTGAACCACATCCAAGAGTTCCTGCTCTGTAGTAGACTGTGGAAGATTAATATGTCTGGCTGACATGCCAACTGCCTCTGCAGATTTGCACTTCATTCTGATGTAGACATTTGAGTCCTCGCGTCCTCCAACCTACAAAATAAAATATTAATGTTTTAATGAATTGATCTTAAATAATTCTGTTTCTTTGAATAAGAAGAATATTACAAAAAGTACATTTATAATGTGGCACATACGTCCAGAATTGAATAAACTTTATATACGTATATTATGGGACCATGGATTATAGGATTGCCTGTGAATGGGGACAGTCATCATTATGAAACACTTTGTGTAAAACATTATACAATTAAAGACAATTTCTTGTATTATACTACAATGACAAATTACATAAAGACTAGTACTATAATTATGCAATTTTAACAGCTACAGGTACATGTAAGTTTTGATTTATTCAGCTGTTCAAGTCCATATTTCCAGCACTTACTATTTCAATTGTATTATTACATAATAAAACTGTGTCATCAATGGCAATTGTCAAATTTATGGCTGGACTAATAATTCTGAAAACTTTAATTTATCAATGGTTATACACAAGCAGGTCATATTTGCATAATTGTTCTGAACAAATCATGATAATTACAAATTCATAATCTTGGGAAACCCATCAGTTCAATCGGTTAGACAAGCAATTTCTACTGCACTTCTTAAAATCGATTCCTGGCAAAAATTGTTTTATTAAAATAACCTTATGTACCTCTTCTCAGCCCTAAGATGCATGTACAGAAAGATGAGTATCAGAATGATGTAGATTTGCTTATATGAATATCAGTGAACTCCAGAACTGAAAATAAGACTTCCCAAAAGATCATTATGCATTAAATGATTTATTAGAGCAAGTAGGCCATTAATGAAATGGACTGTTATGACTGACCACAGGTGATAAAACTGACTTGGTTCCTCAAACCTATTTCCATTTTACTTTGTAAATAATGACACAGCTACCATTTTAAAAGGATATCAGAATGATTATGCAATAATTAATTCATTTGTTCACTACTTTGTCCCCATAGAAACACCCATCTTGAATGTTGACCACCTGTTTGAAATCCTATAAAATGACCAGGTTTGGACCAAGAATTCTTCACACTGGATTCAACGGTGACAACAATACATCAAGGTAGGAGAAAACTTCATAAATTAGCTTAAATTTGTGCCATGGGCTTTCGATAGAATTTTAAAATAAAAATAGACAAAGCAATGAAATCTTTTCAATAATTCTTTTCTTCTTTCATGTCTTTAGGACATACAGTTCTTTAATATTTTGGTAAAATTCAACATTTTAAAGTACAATGGAAATCCTGCAGAATATGTACGATATTTTTGAATAAATCATTTTCAGACCACAATGATAAAGTACGCAGTTATAGCAGCATTGATGGTAGTGACAGTTGTGCAATGTCATTCTATCAAGAAAACCAACATCCAACCATGGAACATCATTTCTAAGGTAAATAAATAATAATCAGTTCAAGGGTTAATTACTGAGATAATCATCCTAAACAATATCTTTAAATTAATAATGCTATTAAAGGATTGTCACTGACTGACAATTTAATGCGAAAATTATTTATATATATTTCATATTATTGTCTTGTGAACAGTTTTTGTTTTTAGTTTTAGTATTATAGTTACAAAAAGGAAAGTTTGGTTAATTTAACAAAAAGTATTCAAAAAATTAAAACAAAAACCCCAAAATAGATGAAAATTAAAGTAAACCTTTTATTTCAATAACAAGATCCTTTTTTAAATGAACCAAACTTTCTTTTGTACAATATTGAGAGACCTAAACACATTGTGCATATGTCATATGTTAGTCTCAGGTTTCAATGAGGTTTAGATAGATGTTTCATTTCATTCCAAACATATGATGAACAAAAGAAGTGTCTGACATAGAGAAAACTTTAAATATTTTTCAAATTAAATTGTTATCATTCAAAAGATGATCAGAAGACGATGTTTACTCTAAATTATCACACTCTTTGAAACATTTTTTCAAATCAATAAATTAACAGCCTCATAAAAGTAATAATACGGAACATATTTGTTTTTATCGTAATCCTACAAAAATGTTTACCTAAAGCATTTTTAACTTGGTAAGTTTTATATAATGCAATAGTTTTTAATTACGTCATGGGCTTTCTAGTTTCGTTAACAATTATTCTATAGCTCTTTTCATTTTTCAATTTTTAAGCGTGGCATGAACCCTTCTCAGAATGTCCCTATGGAGATTCTCATGTTTTTCAACTGTGAAGATTTGAGACCCGAGCCATACAACACACTAAGTGATGATATCATGGATGCACTCGAGGAAGGAAATCGTGATGCTCTGTGCAATGAACATGCTGAAGGTAAAACTGCCTTTATGTTAGTCTATTTGAACTTACAATCAAAAATTCTACTTGAAATGTACAATATAAACAGATAGAGAATTGAGATTGATATTGGAAGCAATCTTTATTGTAAGAAAAAGAACTAATGAGACATGAAAATCAAATATGGACGTTAATTTGTGATGTTTTAATGATTAATAAATAATTTTTTATTATACATATTAAGATGTATCAACAAACACAAACCAAAAACTTTCCAGAACAAATGTCAAAACATAAGATATGACAAAGCATGTAAAATATAAGCACTACCCAAATACACACATGCTGTTCTTTCAGAAATGATGAGAGTGATCATGGCCGAGTCAACACAAAGGAACTGTGACCTTGCACATGTTGAGGCTTTCATGGACGCTGCACACAGTCTGCATTGTCTGAATGTGAGTAAACTACATGTACAATTAAATAATACTCAAATATCAACATGGGGTGCACTTGCTACCATAGTGGTAAGAAAAGCCCTAATCTATAGTCTTTCTCTAGTGTGGGTAAAAGGGTCTTGTAAATCAGGATGACTTGATGTTTAGATCATATGAACAATTTGGAAACCAAAAGACCATGTTTTTCTCTTCAGTATTAATCTCAATTTTTCACTTGTAATGTTGCATAGTAAATTTGTTTTTGCGATATATCTGACACAAATGCATCCAGTTCTGTTGCATTTTAGACCATCACAACCTACAATTGGGAGCTTGCTGACTGTGACAACACAGATGGAGAGTTCATCTGGCTGCCAGTGGAACTTGGTACAAACCCAGAAGAACATTGTGGTGACATGGAGAAATCTGCTGGTAGGTTTGGGTGTGTGTCTGAAACCTAATTGGACCTCGGCACGAGTGTGCTCTTTCATTTGGAAAAGTTACTAATTTAAAAGAATTAAGAACTTTCTTGCTATTTTGATTACAATAACAAGATCACTTGGGGCATAAGATTTTTTTCTCTTAAATGGGGGCATACGATGACAATATAGCACTTTAAGGATTGATGAAAAATACTCATTTGAAACTAATCAATATCTAAATCAAACTTTTTCTCAATTTGGATATCCAATGTATATTTCAGTCAATAGAATATGCCACAAGAGTTCAAAATTCAATTTTTATTTGATTTAATTGATATATGGTTGAATGAGTGACTGTGTTAATTCTTTCAGCCATCGGATGTCATGTTTTGGCTGAGGCAAAGAAACGCGATTGTGATTTGGAAAGTGTTGGATTTGGGATAATGATGTTGAACTATGCCATTTGTGGAGAGGATGCTGCAATCCCACAAAGTAGGTTTATAAACCAATGACTGTTATTTCTTCATATTTCATTATTCTTTGAGGTCTTTCATGTCAGATATTGCAAACAGCGTAGTCCTGTCTCACAGTAATCTGAGTTCTTAATTCACATGAGTTGAAAATTAAAATGTAAATCTGTTTTAGGTCTCCCATGTATGCCAGACCTATGGGGTTCAGCTAGTTACAGTTCTGGCGATTACAGTTCAGATGATTATAGCTCAGATGATTATAGCTCAGGCAGTAGCTCAGGCAGCTCCAGCTAAGCAGTTAAGGCTCCAGTTGTGGCTGTTAAATCCCAAATGTACACCTCAAGCATATCACTATAGGATGCCTATGTGTTTTACTGTAAACTTTGGAAATCAATGAAACAATAATAATTTGAAACGCATACATAAATGAATTTTTGTTTAAAATACATGGAGAGTCATTCTGATACTAGCAACCAGCAATATGTTCTGATTTACATGTAAGTACATTTGAGATTGGGTATCATCAGGTAGGGGGGTGCAAGATTTGAATGATGGGATGGTTATCATGTATTTATTGCCCTTGATTGTTGAAATATTACATAATATTCTATTGTCACTGCCATTAGTAAACTCTGTCTCAACTGGTATCATTTCAATTTGGTTCATGACCTCGATAAAGGTGAGATGGATTCATAGCTTTTGAAGCAATTTGATTGATGGAACCCCACTCCAGGCCTAGTTCAACAAGTTAAACCCAATACGGCTTTCATTATTGCAGTGGCCATTTGGTTTTACTCTCTAAGGCTTTAACATGCAAAATAACAGCACCTGCCATTTGTTACAGAGACCATGTTACAGACGCCGAACATTAAATGCTGTCAACAAAAAAGTTGGAGACATAACAATGTCACCACTTGTGATGGTGACATAAAAACCATGGATTATGACTCACCTCAGCACATTTTATGTGGCTAAAATGAGAAAAACAAGATCATTTTTGAGAAAATAATTCAGATATTTTGAAATATGTCTTGAATAGGGGGTCAAAATCCATGGTAACGTTTTTAAATAATTTTATTATCCTTGGCTTAAATCTGTCTAAAATCATTTGCCATACATGCCCCATATATGTACCTGGTCCTTTTCTATGTTCAATAATAATTTCAATACAAAATGACAATACTTTGGTTTCTTCATTTAACATCATGAGGCTGATCTCTTACCTGAACAATGGCTAGGCCAGGATTGAACTCTGGATGGTCCTCTCTTATAGCAGCTATTTCTGACTTAATGGCATTTTGGAGTTCCCTTAAAATACATGAAAAGTAAAATAAATCACACATAGCTCAGAATTCTTTATCACTTTCTGATTAATCAGAATACAGTATAGCCATGCTATGCTCCCAGGGGGTTCACTGTATAAACCTTGACGGGGATTCTCGGCGCATGTGGGGTACCTTATTTGACATTTGGATGGCAATGGACCCGAATTTTAGGATCTGCTATGAGAGTGCCCCCCCAAATTATGACTTGAGGTATGGCAATGGTCGGATTTTTCCACTTTCTGATGAGAATGATCATTGAAAATATGTTACCTCACACTTGTGAGTGTGACAGGGGTATATGGCATTGGTCTAGTAGTCATACATATCCTTTATTTGGGATTGTTTTGGATCATTTTCACACAAGATTTCCCTCCTTCTTAGACTCTTCTTTTGTATTATATTGGACTTATATCTGAACATTTGGTATACAGTATAGCATTGGTCTTATATTTGGACATTTGGTATTCCATTTGGTCTTATATTTGAGCATTTGGTATGGCTTTGGGCATTATTTTGGTAGGTATGGGAACACATTAAAATTTGACAGATTGGTATGGGAACATATTGATATCTGAGGGTTCAGTATACAATGAACCCATCGGGGTATGCTTCATTGCATATATTTTCCAAGCCTAACAGAAATAAAATAAATTCTTAAACTCTCAAAACTAAAGACCAGAATATTGGCCATATTCATTTTCATTTTCAAATGATTCAATATTAAAATAGGTAATACTTCATGCACTACTACTGTATGGGACTGTCATCTTGATTTGGGGTTGTCACTGCTCATGACTGTGATTGGTCAATATTGAAAAATCTAGCAAATAATTGGACAATGAAGTAATGTCTGTTGGTGTCTGGTAAAATAGTTGACACGATAGGCAGAAACTGATATGACAGCCCTTGACATTGAGATGATGATGGCACATAAACCTTTATCTTATCAATGTGTATTTCACAACAACTGGTCAGTATATTAGATTATCTTTATAACGTGTCCTTTCCATGTTGCTCTATTACAAATAGTATACATCATAAAGATTGCAGTTCATATTTAATTGTCATACATACAGTACAATAAATATCAGTCTATGGATCCTCATTCTGATACTCATAGCATCTTTCTGTTTCACCTGAAACATGCTCTGATATTATGAGGCATATTCTGTGATCTGAGCAAATCAGATGGGAAAAGTTATAACTGTCAATAAGTGTGATAGTTATCATGTAATCATTTACCTAATGGCAGTACATTACATAATAGCCATTGTATTTAACAGCAGATATGAGCACAGGCATGGGTACACAAGTTTAATGACCCCAATTAAATGAAATATAAGCTGGGATGAAAGATCTCAAAAATCCTCAATTTTGGGCTCTCCTGGATCGCCAAATCAAGCTCATTATATCATGGCATCTCAGGGCTGAGAAGAAATGAGATGCCATGGTTTATCATGATGATGGATCCTGGCCTACTGGCTCAACATCTTTATGTGTGATATGCTTGATAATCTGGTATGATTCATGAAATTAAGTCATTTATTGCCCATTGTATATGTACCATACTCAGTGATCATAGCTGTTAACACGGGGTACCATCGAATAATTTTGGCAACGTACCGGAGAATGACATTTTACTAAGAAATGGCAATAATTTAGCACAATATATTTTTTAACTAGAGTTCTACTTTGATTTTGACAAAAGTAAGTATTCCATGCAATGGCTATTTCATTCATGAGTTTGTAGGAATTCTGTTGGAACCCAGGTCTGATCAAGTACGAAGTTATTGAAATCGGCGCAGTCGGACTTTACTCCGAAAGATGGTTTTTCGATTATAACTTTTTACAACATTTAAGTATAGACTTTTGAAAAAAGTACAGAATAGTCCTTATACTATTGAATAATTCTGTTATTTCTGATTCACACGACTCTGATTTGTTTAATTAAAAAAAAGTTTTAAAAATATTATTTAGGAACGTAACCGGAGCTGGGAACGTAACCGGAGCAGATCAGTTGAATTATATAATTTAAAAAAATAAAACATATGATTTAAAGCATATATATTAATAAATACGCATTCGAACAATCCCGTATGTTTTTAAATTAGTATATGTGCTTAAAATCATATATTTTAATTTTTTTGATTAAATAATTCAACTGATCTGCTCCGGTTACGTTCCCAGCTCCGGTTACGTTCCTAAGTAATATTTTTAAAACTTTTTTTTTAATTAAACAAATCAGAGTCGTGTGAATCAGAAATAACAGAATTATTCAAAAGATTAAGGACTATTCTGTACTTTTTTCAAAAGTCTATACTTAAATGTTGTGAAAAGTTATAATCGAAAAACCATCTTTCGGAGTAAAGTCCGTCTGCGCCGATTTCAATAACTTCGTACTTGATCAGAACTGGGTTCCAACAGAATTCCTACAAACTCATGAATGAAATAGTTATTGCATGGAATACTTACTTTTGTCAAAATCAAAATAGAACTCTAGTTAAAAAATATATTGTGCTAAATTATTGCCATTTCTTAGTAAAATGTCGTTCTCCGGTACGTTGCCAAAATTATTCGATGGTACCCCGTGGTTAAGTGGTAAAATAATGACATTGCATATATTTTTCAGATAATTTTCAGTTGATGGTTCGTTTAAGAGACTTCAAACTTGAGTGAAACATAGGCCCACAAACTTTGTATAATTAATTAATGCCATAAAAATTGCCATATATTAGTGACAGCCCAATAGTTATCGCAATTCAGTTGCAATATTAAAGGCCCACTTAGGTTAATTTAGAAGAAAAAAAATTATCATTGAAACCTATTACTATACTCACACACTCGCTCAAATATGAAACAACATTTGATTTGCTTTAATATTGAAACAAGAAAAAAATAACTCACATCGAAAAAAAGCATTTGAAGTTCACAGATCATTAGACATGCATGCACATGCTAAACAAAGTGCATGTTTTTAATTACTTTTGATTTAAAAGATGGTGACACTTATATAAAATGAATGTATCATTTAATTCAAACAACTTCGCCATCTTTTAATGATATTGATAAAAACTTGATATACATGTATAAAGCTTGACAGATCGAAAATATTTTTTTGATTATTCACTGTAAGTTGTTGGTGTCAAATGAAAGATAGGGTTCTTATCAATATATTGGACATTTAATAGAATTCAAATTAAAGGCTTAATTTTGCCCAAAAACATTGAAAATATGCGAAGTGGGCCTTTAAGGGAAACCGCACAGTCTATTACACTGTTAGATTTTGCTATTTCAAAAGAAGAAATGCAATTTACAATATTAAATGAATTATACTTGTGTCAAAAAAAGGTGTAATATTTATAAACAAATATATTTACTTTAGTGGTTGATAAGCCCATGTGGGCTGGGTTGTTATTTTATTACTTTTGTATTGTTAAATGATGTAAACTTACCACTGTAAATAACAATAAAACTAAACTAAACTAAACTACACTGTTACAACCAGTTGAACCTAAGAAATAAGAAATCTCATAGGCGTCTGAAACTGCCCAAAAAATTTTCTTGATAAGATTCCTTGGTGAAAAAAAATTCTATATCAGAAAACAAATATTTATGGTCCTTAAAGATGCTCAGATTGCACCAAATAACATCTTGAATGACAAAAATTTTCATGAGGAGTATGCCCCCAGACCCCCAGATGCGCAGCCTTCTTCCGCACCATCACTCACCTAGCCATCTATATCTTCTGGAAAACACACCCCCTTTTCAAATATGGTGTGCACTTCTGTTCTCTGGAGGCCTAGTCTCTATGTAGGTTTAAGTTTCAGATATCACGGTTTCAGATATCATGCAAAAACATAGACTTTTGCAGGTTGGTGGCAATGTGCCTTATGAATAGATCTCACACCTTAGTCCTGTATCCATTAAGAAAAAATACACCAGATTTCACCATACCGTGCAACTATTCATTAAGCGATTTATTTATAAACTTTCTCATAAAAAAATAAATATTGCAGTTCTATTGAATTTTCTCCCCCCCCTCTCCATTCATTTTTTCCGATCACAGGGCGTTGATATATTTAAATAAATTGTTCTAGATAGCAACATAAGATTATTTTTTCTTTATTTTTTGAAAGGATTGAACTTTTTATAGCATTTGAAGTGTTTACCTTTTTCAATGTCCATCATTCACCCTGTTCGTTTTTACATCCATAGAGCGATAATGTTTTAATTATTTCGTGAATATTCCTTACAAATGTGAGATAATTATTCTCGAAGTTCAAGATGTAAATATTCCACTCCATTGAAGTTTAAAACTGGCTGCTGGTGCATATATCATTTTACAATGAACGATAAAATACAAGTATTTTTGTTTGTTGAAAATAGGGAGATGTAATTTAATTTGGTAGTCTTTGTACGTTTTTTCGTATTTCCTTAACTGGAAATATGCTCATCATGCATTCAATTTTTCCAGAAATCATTTGAAAGAAATATGTTCCAAGAAATCAACGTATACATATGTAAGCTTGCTTTTTAAATTGTAATGTATTTTCGCAGAAGAACACATTAGCAGTTGATCTATCAGACTTAAAATTTTAAAAATGAATCCCTCTCTGAAAACCAAAAAATGTTGCGTGTAGCAAATGACAGAAAAATGTTGCACCAAACAACAGAGAAATGATGGTAATGATTTTACGTGCAGGATATTATGCTCTGAAATTGCTCAGAATACACCGAATGATGTTCAATTTTCTAAAATTTTCTGTGTAGTATCAATATTAATCTGATAAATCGTAAAAACACCGATTTAGTTTTAATCGAAAAGAACTATTTATAGTCCTTGTAAACGCTCAGATTGCACCAAACAACATCTTCAAAAAAAATTAACATGCTGGTAAGTAGATACGTGGTTACATGAACTGGTTTCCTAAATTAAAAATTATGGTTTATGACTGTCTACATGTTACTTGGCTAGACCAATTCTTGGCTAGAAGTTATTCCATCTGGAACACCGTGAACTATTGTTAAATTCCTAGTCGGGGTTCAATAAATTTAAGTAATATTCTAAAATCCATCATGTTAAGCAAGGTTTATGATATACTCAGAAAATGTGATTTATTAGATTATTGGAATAATCAAAATCTGGATACTGAAAATCTGGTGAACATGGTTGAAAAGAAATTAAAAATATTATTTGTAGAAAAATGGAAAAATGATTTGAACACTTATCCTATATTGAGAATGTACAAATTATTTAAAAATGATTTTGGTAAAGAATTGTATTTGAAGCTAGATAATAAGAAGTATAGATTGGCTACAAGTAGATTTAGAATGAGTTCTCATCAGTTAGCAATTGAGACTGGAAGACATACAAAGCCAAAACCAAAACCTATAGAGGAAAGATTATGTAATATTTGTAAAGATGTAGAGGATGAATGTCATTTCTTTTTAACTTGTACAAAAAATGATGAGAATAGGCAAATATTATTTACAAAAGCCCGTGAAATTTTACCTAACTTGGATTTACAAAGTGAAAATTTATTTGTCAATCTAATTTCTAGTAAAAATGTAACCTTGCAAAGACATATTGGCAAATTCATTTACCATTCATTTAAGAATTTAACATGGTCATAATGCATTGTGTGTGCACCACACTATTATTGTTACCTTATATGTTATTATATATTTTTGTATTTTTAGTTTAGTTAGTGTTTTGTAGTTTAGATATGTAGACCATAGTTCTGACTAATGTAATCATGTTATGATACTATATGTCAATAAAAGTTATAATAAAAATACATATATTTCATGAATTGAAATGGAACTGGCTGGGCTCCTTGATGAGATATTGCATGATATTGTCAGGATTTCGTCTAAAATTAAAACAAATGGCTCTAAGAAAAATGGCGATATTTGAAAACTGGGCAAAATGTCATTAACGTCTGACATTAGTAACTGGCTGTAAATTCTAAGTTTAGCGATCCAGAAGATGTGAATCAATATATCGATCACTTCATGTGTGTTTTGGAATCTTTGGCTATAGCGGATCCAGGGGGGTGTGCCGGGGGCGCGCGCCCCCCACCCCCCTAAAGTTTTCAATATTTTCTAAAACATGTACAGTAGGCCTAGGGCCTAAATAAACCCAAGGACTGTCTCCTGTCTATAAATCGTTTCAGCTCACTTTTATAAATAACGACTTTGCATTATAACCCAACCAGGTTGGATCAAGTTTGCCAGTAGACCTAAATGTTCGTTCTAAAAAACTGTGCAAAAATGCGTCATATGACATGACCCGTATACAGCGACATGACTCACATTCCGCCTCCTAGTAAATACATGCAGGGATTTATCTTTGGACCGATATAGTGGCCTTAGAAGAAGGTAACCTACATGTTCCTGAAGAAATGATCAGAGAGAGACCCTATCTGTTGCAAGACTAACGCCTGGCGTAACCGTCACCATGTTATTCGGTGTTTTTTAAGTAGCGCAAGGATCCTGCCATGACCGTGGTAATGTTATCGTGAAAGCCTGGTATAACCGCGACAATGCTGTATTATATTAAAATGCCTGCCATGACCGTGGTAGTGTAATCGTGTAAGCCTGGCGCGACCGCAACCTTTATATGACATTAATGACCTTCATGTTTCGCCCGTTGCTGTTGGTATTTTTTATGAATAAATCTTATTAATTGATCATTATAGAAAGTATATGCTTTTGAATCGAAGCTCCTTGAATGAGAGTAGAGATATAGTTTGTTGGCAAATTATTTATGAGTAAAAATTAGGTTTTCGTTGTGAAATTAATACACATTTTTAGTAGTCTTTATTTACATATTTAAGGTAGTTAAACACGAAGATTGTCATTACAGTGTTCTCATGCTACTTTAAATACAACCACGGTCATGAGAGGCCTTGCAACTATTGTCACGGTCATATGGGGCTTTAACATTACCACAGTCATGACAGGCCTTGCAATAATTTATGATTAGGACTGCTATAACCGTGACAATGTTAATAGCAAAGCTGGGCATGACCTAACAATGTCATATAGTACTGCAAGGCCTGGCATGGCCGTGACCATGTAATACAGTATTGCAAGGCCTGCCATGACAGTGACAATGTAATGTTTATGATAGGACTGCCATAACCGTGACAATGTGTATTGCAAAGCCTGGCATGACCGTGACAAGGTAATATAGTATTGCAAGGCCTGCCATGACCGTGACAATGTAATATAGTACTGCAAGGCCTGGCATGACCGTGACAATGTAATATAGTATTGCAAGGCCTGCCATGACCGTGACAATGTAATATAGTATTGCAAGGCCTGGCATGACCGTGACAATGTAATATAGTATCGCAAGGCTTGGTATGACCGCCGTGGCAGTGTAATGTAGTATTGCAAGTTCAGGTATGAAAGTGGTGATGTAGAAATTTATGATTAGGACTACTGCTATAACCGTGACAATGTGTATTGCAAAGCCTGGAATGACAGTGACAAGGTAATATAGTATTGCAAGGCAACATATGTGGGTGGTCATGTAGAAATTTAGGCTTAGTCCGTGATAATGTATTGCAATGACTAGTACTAGGGCACTGTAAATATGAATCATATTAATGTCAGAAATATCCTTAAACAATTTTAAGTGATCGTCATTATAATGATACGATACAATTAAACAGTTTAACACTATATGATCATGGTGTTTAACTACCTTAAATATCAAAATTACTACTAGACATTATATTCACATTATTTCCGCATATTCTAAAATAATTAATCATTTACACAGAATAAGACAAGTTATTTTGTGTCACGCTTATAAACAATTTAGACCGGAGACATAAAATATACAAATATTTAAAAGTGGATAGTAAACAAATCGCTTAACAAACAACAATAAAAAATTCTTAAATTAAACGTAAATGCTACGGCCGCGCCAGGCTTCCACGATAACACTCACGGTCATGACAGGCCTTGCAATATAATACAGTGTTGTCACGGTTATACCAGGCTTACAAAATAACACTGCCACGGTCATGGCAGGATCCTTGCGCTACTTAAAAAACACTGAATAACATGGTGACGGTTACACCAGGCGTTAGTCTTGCAATAGATAGCATGTGATCAGAGAGTCATAAAATATGGTACACCGATTCGTGTTGTAAATTGACAATAATTATACATAAATTTTAACATATATGATCCCAGAACCGTTACGTAAATATTCAATAATAATTAAATCACCAATACATACCCCGACACTTCTTTTCCACTTAGTATTTGTGCCATTGCAAAACCATAAATACTTAGACTTTTACAACTGAAATCATCGCATTCAAATAATGATGGAGTCGATGTATTCACGAAATAATCAATAGTCACAAGAAATATCTGAAGGACAAATAACTGTTTCGATCACAGATTGATCACCAAGCCCAATAGCAGGGGGCTAATTCAAAAATCAATCCCCGGGATTTTGGTACTGAACGAAAAGAGCTACACTGGCGTAATCCGGCAATTCAAAAGTCAGGAATATCTGGTTTGTTTATGTTTTTGCTTTTATTACCTAGTGACACAATGCAATTATGTCCATTCAACGGCTACAATTGACATTTCATTTATTCAAAGTGTGTGCATCTTTGTGGTGTCATACGTTCTTCTCATTCAAAGTAAATTATATTTTAATTTAGGCGGGCATAAAACTGCTATTCGGATTGAGTCATATCTACAGTCATTTTATGCATATCCATAATGCCTATTTGACCTATCATCGCCATTTCCCAAGTTCGCCCAGTTTCCGAGAAATTGCTGATTTTGACGTCAAAAAGTCAAATTTTCTGTAAATACTAGACACTTTGTTGAAGTAAAACTTTCAAATAACTTGTAGTAGTTGCTGTTTATGCAACTTATGTCCTCTGAAGATTTCAAAGCTCTTGGAATGACAGTTTTTGGTGTTTACTCTCTAAAATTTGACAAAAAGTAGGACTTTGTCATTTTCAGGAAACTTTCTTATGTATAAAGTCAATGGCAGGTTTCGTGATTGACAAGTTTTTCAAAGTTTGCCTTATACTTGATCATTTCTTGCAATGAATTACATCATAACTAGATTTAAGCATTCCCTACATATTGCTCAAAATATGTCAGCATCAAATTTTTACTGTTTTTGAGATATTAGACGTAAAAGACAGTAAAAATAAGTTATTTTTCAACTTGCTTCAATTTGACCAATTTTTTGGGGAAAATCATCTACAAGTTACCAGGAGTTCAAATCTGACATTAGTTTTAGGATTTGACATTTACTTGACCTTCAGTGACCTTTGAAAGGTCAAAAAAGTTGATTTTTCAAATTGATTTTTGGATGTAAATTTTGGTCAGGTTAATCACATAAGACCTTACTGAGCTCTAAATAAGTAAAATTTTCAAGGTCAAAGGTCATCAAACTAGGTCACACAACTTTGCTGTCTAAGTTTCTTAAAGTTTGAGACTACAAATCCAAATCAATATCTTTGTTTGAAAGTCAGGATATACATTCCTCTGAAGGTTCCAAACTGTGTGAGCACAGGACCGTGGGTCCTATTTTTTGCATTCCCGTACTGTAAGGTTAAGTGATTGGACCACAACTCTAACTAACTGCTTGTTTGTGCAACTGTATATACAGTATGAATCAGTGTGTAACTATAATGTAAATAAATAATATAGTAATGTTGTGCCTTTCCAAGAAAGGGTTTCTTGGTATGTGTCCCAGTGAAGGTACATTTATACAGAGGAAATTGTAGTCAGTATTCATATTGCAGGCCTCTCAACTTGGGAACACATAACATGAGTGACTTACAAATGTTGAATACTTTTCTTCAAATTGTGGACACCTTGGTCCAAATCTGAGTGAACATCTTGGCCCACAATTTGAACACCTTGAATCAAATTTTATTACATAATAACCAAATTTTGGACACCTCAAAATTTTTCACGCTCGTTACGCTCACGTTCAGAAACTCTGTCAACGGGGGGTGGGGACGGTATGAAATATTTTTGGAAAATGCGTGACATATACGGTATCCTCGTGAAAACAAAATGCGTTCTTTTTTCAGCATTCATTTTTTAGCTGTATCAGCGATCACTTTTTTGAAGTTTTTCTACAGAAATATTTTTGCTTGAAAATCAGGTAAAATGCATATTTGTGTGACATGTTCTGTCATGCAAAAAAACTGGCGTGACTGATGTTCCAGCAAATGCATGACAAATATGCAAATTGCGGGACAGTTGGACAGCCTGATATTGACACCTATAAAAAATATTTACTTCATCTGAAGAACAATTAAGTTATATACATGTACTATTTCCTACTTGTACAGTTTGCGTATAGGTACACGTACATTTCTACATTTCCATTTGGACATGTTAATTTTTTACGAAGACCCCCCTCCACAAAGTGGGTGAAGCCATTCGTTCTATAGAATGGGCTTTGACCAGTCACGTGACCAAAAGTCCGTCATTATTACCTTATATGGCAAATCATCAAGGCAACAATCACAACGCCATATGATGTGATTGTGATTCAAAGATATGACATATCACATAAACTATGACATCAATCACATATTGCCCCATCAGCAGCTAAACAAACAACAAAGCTAAACATCACACATCCAAGTTGATTTTATATCAATTTGTGAAGTCATTAACATGTTACCTAACGTTCTCTGTGGTATTTTCATTAAATTTAAAAGTGGATCAGTTTTGTCAACATACCATATGTTTTGTTGTGACATATTTTCACTGGATTATCTTGTTGTGATCAAAAACACTTCTGGCATTAATCTATTACATGTACATGTTTATAGCAACTAGTCTGTTCAGAATCAGAACCGATAGCATTATGTACCAGGCTGTATAGAATGTGTACTATTGGAATCTTTGATTATGCAAAATAATGCAAAACAAGAAGGATTTTGACAAAAACAGCAGGAATTCCTTTAAAAATGTCACTTACAGATTGTCAATGCAACATCTATTATATTTCAACAATAAGTGATTACCTTATGTATGTTTTGTTAGCAGACACTATCATGGATAGTGATCCACCAATTGAAGGACACCCTCAACCAGAGCATGAAAATCCAATTAAGGTAGGAGACTCTGATGCTGTGTCAAACCCAGAGTGTCCTCCAGTAGGCCCAAGTGGAGATGCTGGTGCACCTCAGAAGAAGACCCCAGAACCTGAAGATGGGAACAAAGCAGGAAAGAAGGTATGTGCAAGAATATAACCTAACTTTTTATTTTAGAATACATTCAATCTGTGTTTGTTGTTTTCTAGCCCTAATTCATCTTTTGCAATCAAACTCAGAATAACATGGAAAAGTGGCGTCCAGACCCACTAAAGGCTATAGGGCTAGTTTTTAACCACTTAAAAATATTGATAGTGCAGTAATTGATATAAACAAGATTCAAAATCATATTGTACAGATATGCACTTTTATTATTTTACAGCGCTCAACTGGTAAAAAGAAGAAAAAGCCAACACCGACCTCCCTTGCTGAATTACGCAAGAAAGGGAGAGAATCTAGAGAGGAAACTGAAAGGGGGAAAGGTGGGGAAGATGTCCAGTTCATGACAAAGGGATTTGGCAAAATGGTATACTTCTTTTGAATCTTAATTTCTTGTAAACATTATTATTGGTGTCACCACAATATTCAAAGGTCTCCTCATAGTGAAAGTGAAAGTTAACCTCTATATTTCTTGGTTAGTATGACCATGGGCTTTCAACTAGTATGACCATCTGATTTCCTGGCTTGATTTCTTAAACTTGACCTCTAGATTTGCTATTTTAGTTACAATGACTTCAAAATGTCCTGGATAGACATGATTTTCTTAGTGAATGTACCTGTAGGGAGTTCTATATTGTATGATCATGATATTTTATTCATGTTACTTTTACTTTTTTTGTTTAATTTTAGACTATTACACCAAGACCAAAACCAGTTGAAGGGTAAGGGATTGTAATCTCAGAATATTTTTTAATCTCGACATGCACTCATAAAAAGATATGCCTGGCATTGGTTATTTTTGAATGATTCTGAATTTTAGTACTTTTTGTATTATCATTTTATTCCAAATATAAACAAACATGTAGAGTGATCATACAATCAGTTACTTGCCAATGTTTTTCAACATTAACAGCCATTTTATTTATTTATTTTAGTACTGGCCTTGTATATGATGAAAGAATGGCATTACATAAATGTGACTGGGATGATAATTACCCAGAAAGCCCTGCCAGGATCACAGAGTCATACAAGCGCTGTTTAGAATATAACTTAGTAGACAGATGTGTCAAAATTGAGGTATTTGTTTTTTTTTTATTTAAGTATTCTCTAAAATAATGCTCGTCAGCAAAATATTTCTATCAATGGCTAGTAGTATGTCATTAATACATGTATTATTTGAATTTAAATTTGATTATTAATTTATAATAGGTCATGATCTAAGGGGCCATCTCAAATAAATGTATACAAAATCCAACATGCCAATCATTCCCCTTGTTAATAGACATTCTTAAATGCACATTATTTTTAAATTAAAACATGTATTAAATGTTCTGAAAAAATACTTCCCATAAAATTCTCCATAGCCTAGACTAGGAACAGATGCAGAGATCACTTCCCAGCATTCATTTGGTTACATGGAGCAAGTCAGAAGTAGCTCAAGTTTGACAGCTGTCAATGATTTCAAAAAGTTTTCAATGACAATGGAAGACATAGTTGTAAATAGTGTAAGTTTGGGTACCATATGGGTAATCAGTAGTCCTATATGATTAAGTACATGTATTTGTCTTAGTGTACATATGCTTGTACATGTTCACTGTATATATGTGCTTTACTTGTCTCCTACAAGCATTTATGACAATGTATAACATGACAACATTTAAGTTCTGTTTATTTAATTTATATCCAATTCATCCAACATTTCTTATTTTGTCATAACCCTTATTGATATGGCACCAAGATCAGACGGCCAATTTCAAATGTCCATAGTTTGTTATACATTGTTCCTATTGTTTACCTTGTTGTATTTTTTCATTCTGTAGTTAAGTAGTTAGGTAATTATCATTTGTTTCTACATTAAGATATCTTTTAACATAAAGCTGTATACAGTTACATTTTTCTTTAAGATGAGCATGGGTTCTGTGATATTCATTATGGAATTCAGTTGGGAAAAATCTATGCCATTTATGTTTTGAGATAGCATAAAGAAATGGCTTTGCATGATGAAATCATGTAAATAATTTCGTGAACCTTAAGACCCCCTCACCAAACAAAATAGACAAAAACACATTGGTATTTGAATGGGTCCCTCAACTCCAATTGAATCATGTCTGCATTTCATACATTTTCTCATGCTGTCTTTTTGAAATATCGTACTGAATGAAACTTCCCCGAGAATGATGAAATAATTTAAGTCTTTGAATCAGGCAACCACTGATGCTGATGCTGCCATCTTAACAGAGCATAGTTCAAGCTACAAGGAAAGAGTTGAAAGCACTCAACAAGTAAACTTGGAGAAACTGAAAGAAATATCTGGTCACTTTCATGGTATATGTTTCAATAATGTAAGGATATTTTAGGTATAGGTATTGAGTGTTCTGCTGCCTTTGTGTTTTGCCAGTTGCAGATGGTTGAATCTCTAGATATTACATGTAGGCCTACTAGGAGTGGAATTATTGTATTAATTGTCTAATTCTACTTTTGAAAATAGACTTTTGGAACTGCCTACTGATAGGAATACTGTATTGTGAAATTCATGATTTTTCAAAATTTATACTCACCTACCTGTACTCCATAATCCAAACTGCATCAGTGAAATCAATGAATACATAAATATTGTAGAGTTCACTAGTTTGATATTATAATTATAGTTAATTAAATTATGAAATCTGTATACTTTTAATTAATTTGTCATATTTCATACTTTTTTGAATGAACTATCACTGACAAAAGTGACCAAACATTAAAGTCTGAATCTTTAAAAGTTATGAATTCCATAGGCATGTTCCAAAATCTGTTTTAATTCTGTTCAGTGCCAGCTCTTCTAGGTATTTTGATTCTATCAATATGATATTTTGCCGAACAACTGTTTGTGTGGGGAATTGGAGATTCATGAATTGTTTTTTCATTAAATGGTAAATAAGTCACTCTGACCTGATGCTTATCTCAGTGGGCCCCTTACTATTTAGAAGAAAATATGTTTTTGTTGTGTTCTATCTATCTTTTTAGTTCTTGTTGTATTTGTTGTTGTGCTTTGCTAGCCCCGTCTTGGAACTCACAAAGAAATAACCAGCATGCACTCTGATGGTTATCGCACATGTGTTGAACAGTCTGTAACACAAGACATCAACAATCTCAGAAAATTATCAGAAAAATATGATGCTACATATTTTAATAATGTGAGTGCAGTTTGATGTATCTTTCCAGTAGATTATGTATGTCTTCATACATGTTATTTTCTTGTCAAAAAAAGCATTTCACCAGCGGATCCAGAAGCTAACAAGGGGGTGGCCCAAATTTTGAGTCAGGAAAAAGTTTTGCGCTGTCAAAGAATTTTGGGCCCCTAAAAGCAAAAGTTGGGCTTTTTTGAAAAAAGGCCTATTTTTGATAATTTGGCCTAAGATAGGCCAAAAAGGGCCATTTCTGAAGCCCTTCATGGCCCCCTGGATCCGCCGGTGCATTTGATTTAGTAATAGTCTTAACTATGGTCATACATTTCATTTCACAAATCGTCCCTATAATCCTTTGATTTAAAGAGCGGAATACTGTAGTTGTAATTCACCTTAAAATATTTTTAATTCATAATGATATCAAGGTATTAATTTAAATTTCACAATTAATAGACTTGGACACAAATCTTCTTGTCTGTTGTTCTTGGAGAAAATAAATTAATGCCCTGATAAATGTGCAAGTATTGTTTTTTCAATTTTTCGAACTTGTCATACTAATAACAAGCCAAGGAAATCTTTTCAAGTTTTTATATTTTGAGATAATGCTAGTGCCCAAATGTCTGAATTGTGTAAGTTACATAGCATTATGAATTAAAGTTATGTTATCTTATTTTGGCTATTAAACAATTGGCTGCAGCTATTTACTCTTTTAAGAATGATTGTTAGCTGTATTAACATTTTCATCATATGCCTGCTAAACTTACTGTAATGGTCCATTGTTTCACATATTAAATTGATAATTATGTTTTATAGTCTCTTTGAACCTGTTACATAAGAACATTTTGAAATATTCAGATCCATGAATTTAAAAGAAATGTAAAAGACATTTGTACTAAAGCAATAAATTGACATGTACAGCGATCATTATTATCATGCAGATTTGCATGACTGAAACTGGCCAATTGGAAACATGGATACATAAACATGGTGGCAATACACAATTCCCTTGTCTCTTTCAGCATACTTATGAAGCTGCCAAGTTGGCATTGGGGAGTACACTTGAACTTGTGGATCATGTAGCACAAGGAAAGGTAAATACAATAATATAAGGCAATATTTTCAGATCCATGAAGACAACTAAGCATAATATTTTTACTTATTCCACCTCCTCATACTATAATGAACAAAGTTGTTGTTTTATCTTGTTGACTTAGAATTTTAATTCGATGGGACTTAACTTTCAGATTATCAACAAAGTTTTTCAATTGATTTGTTAACTTTCTAGGTGCGTAATGGAATGGCTATAGTTCGTCCCCCAGGCCATCATGCCATGAAGAGTGAAGCGTGCGGTTATTGTTTCTTCAACAATGTTGCCATAGCAGCAAAACATGCACTTGATGACCTTGGCATGAACAGGTAAGAGTTACGAAAGAATAAATATTGGTTACAGCATTCTATTTAACCATGATGAACCAGCTTGAATATACTTTCTTAAGTATGTTGATCTGGATGACTGTGTTTATTATCCCATCGAACGAAGTTCGGAGGGATATAGGGAACGCCTCCGTCCGATAAGGATTTCAAGAATCTGCAGTCAACTGGAAGATGCAACAAACAGAGTTACCAGCCTGGGAAATAAACTACAATGTCAAGGCTACAGGAGCAACATACTAAATTCGTATACTAAGAAAGCTATAACAAGAAATAAATGGATATGTACTAAATACAATATGCAGGAGAATATCATCATGAAGGACTGGAAAATTAATGAGAGAAGAGAACATTAACAAATGAATATGAAACAGTATCTTCTCCGCAAAGAGGGTAAACTAAGATGACAAATCAGCATAAGACCAACAGTAAGGGGAAGGGGAGAGTTTTCCGGCCGGATCAAAACGTTTAACCCACCTATGCGCAGTCTCAAGTCTGTGGACCCTGAAGAAAGATAAGTAACATCGCAATCAAATCAAGACAAAGAAAGAAGAAAATGAATGAAGAAACCAATGCAGCAACAACAAATGACGTCCGTCCGTCCGTCCGTCCGTCCGTACGTACGTACGTCCGTCCGTCCGTCCGTACGTCCGTCCGTCCGGGCAATAGCTCAAATACCGTTGGCCAAATTTTGTTCATATTTTGTACACATATACCCTATTGGGGTAGAAGTTCTGCTCGAAAGCCGATTTTCAAAATGGCCGCTCATTTCAAAATGGCGGCCATTTTAGTGCCGATTTTACAGTAATTTAGGTGTAATATGTAAAACTGTAATAGCGATATGTTTTAAATATAAAAAAATTATAAAGGACATTAATAATGCTACAAATGTAGATATTAAAGAAGCACATGGCAGCCATCTTGAAAAATGGCGGCCTTTACTCGTCATTTTACAATTTTTGCTATAACTCAAAAAATAGTGGAGCGATTTTGTTCATATTTGGTATGTGAATACTATAAGCATTGCACACTGTCTAAAAACACTTTTGGTAGAAGGCGGCCATTTTGAAAAATGGCCGCCATTTTAACGTATTTTACTATAACTCGAAAAGTAGTGGAGCGATTTTGTTCATATTTGGTATGTGAATACTATAAGCATGGCACACTGTCCTATGACAATTTTGGTAGAAGGCGGCCATTTTGAAAAAAAAATTGAAAAATGGCCGCCATTTTAACGTAATTTACTATAAATCGAAAAGTAGTGGAGCGATTTTGTTCATATTTGGTATGTGAATACTATAAGTATGGCACACTGTCCTATGACACTTTTGGTAGAAGGCGGCCATTTTGAAAAAAAGTTTGAAAAATGGCCGCCATTTTAACGTATTTTACTATAACTCGAAAAGTAGTGGAGTGATTTTGTTCATATTTGGTATTTGAATACTATAAGCATGGCACACTGTCTATTTCTTATGACACTTTTGGTAGACGGTGGCCATTTTGAAAAATGGCCGCCATTTTAACATATTTTACTAGAACTCGAAAAGTAGTGGAGCGATTTTGTTCATATTTGATATGTGAATACTTTAAGCATGGCACATTGTCTAATAAAACTTTGGGGAGTAGTTGGCCATTTTGAAAAATGGCCACCATTTTTATGTGTGTAATTTTACAAGTACGTGTGAGATTTTTCAAAAATTTTAGAGGTGGCTACTTAAAAGCATATTATTTCTTCTGATGACAACTTGGCTAGTGAACAACCATTTTGAAAATGGTGGCCTTTCTGGTGTGTTGTTTTATGATATTTGCTATTCGTTTGTAAAAATGCCAGCCATTTCTGTTCGATGGGATTCGCTACGCTTTGGCGTTGCCGTTGTTCTGGTTTGAAATTCAAACATGACTGTATTCACGCCTTCTATAAACTGTAAACAAAGTCAATGCTTCAATCACTGGTTTCAAGGAACATTTTCCACAGTTTGAAGTTGTTTGTTCATGAAGTTTAAGATATACAGCAACTGCCTTCTCAAGCGACTGTTATATGTGTAACCTTTTGTTTTTGCTATAAATGAAAAAGAAGGTAAATTTATTAATATTTTGTATGTGAATACAAAGAAGCATACATGTATTACATGTACACTGATTACTAACAATTGGGTAATAACTTACTAATAAGGCAGCCATTTTGAGAAATGGCAGTCATTTTTTCATTTGGGTTTCTTTAGAGTTTCTTCTAATTCTGGAAAAGTGGTAGAATGATTTTGCTATGACTTCAAAAGTAAAAGAATGGCACTGCACCTCGGTGTTGCTGTTATCTAATTAGTTTAACTACATGTATTTACTATTTACGTTTGTTTTAGAGTTTTGATAGTTGACTGGGATGTCCACCATGGTCAAGCAACACAATACATGTTCTATGATGACCCAAGGTAAATGTTATCAAAAAGACATCATTTATTGATTTTCAAAATTAAAGAGGGCTAATCAGTTAGATTTAATATTTTCTAACCTGGAATATTATATTATTTTTTCTGTATGAATACTTATTATCAACTTGTATGCACATCATCGTTTTCTTAGTTTTGAGTTATTTCTTTGGATTAAACATGAAACATCCAAAGTAAGATATTTCCTTAGAATGTGTACATACTGTACAGTAAGCATTTTCCTCTAATTTTTTGAAAACACAGGGCAATGCTCAGGTATACTTGTAGAATCTGGGGAATAAGAGAAACATGCATTGCAGGGTGCTCTATTTCTCCATACATCGTTATGAATATGGTACATTCTGGCCCAATCTGAGAGAATCTGACTATGATTACATAGGGGAGGGCAAAGGCAAAGGATACAACATTAATGTTCCACTGAATAAGGTAAGTTGATTTCAAAATACTCACTTGAGCCTTTTAGCGTGATAAACCATAGTCTGAGACAGTTTGATTAAGAGGAAGTCAGGACGAATTCTCCTGTGTATCTCTTCAGAACGTGCTGCTCTTACATACTTCGAAATTCAAATGATGCAAAATATGCCAAATTGCTAGGTTTTTGAACCCAATTCTAGATTTCTAGATATTATTTTGAACTTTTGAAATTATGAAACTCCACCTAACACATTATACTTGAGTTCAATCCAGTACCTATATCAACAAAACACAACAAAGGTGGTAGCACGATTGGGAATTTTTTTTCATGGCTTTGTCTTGATCAAAGTATCTCAAGTCGCCACCTAATTTTCAGAATCAAAATTTATGTAATTTGGAATCCATCCATAACATCCTGTTGAATTCCATTAAATTGTAACTTTAATTGTGTTTTGCAGACTGGAATGGGGAACACAGAATACATGGCAATTCTTCTGCAGATTCTGCTGCCTATAGCTACTGAGGTAAGCTGTATTCTTTTGACATACCTTTGGAACTGAGGTGCATTTATAAGTTTAAGAATCTGTAGATAATATTGATCATCCACTATCGACATTGTGAATTCCATGATTAAAACATTGGACCTATGAATCTTCATTTCTAATAATCAAAGAGGATTGAAAGCCATTATTCAAACTAGATACATGTACTCTGTTGCCTGGCGTAGACCAATTTGATAACAATATTACTCCTATTTTGAAGAATAGAATTGCTGAGGAAGCTTGAATACTACCATACTACCTAAATATCTACTTGGTCCAAAGAGAACCTTATAGAAATATTTTTACTAAATTGTTCCATTGCAGGCAATGGAGTATCAAGTTTGAATAATAGCTGCCAATCCTCCTTGTCTAATAATGGTGCAGGAATGCACCTATTTTCATCAATGTACAAATTTATGATTCACTTTAGTATAGATTATCTGATTGATTCTTTCCAAGTTGTAATGTTTATTGTAAAATTTTGTTTTGTTCTTTTCTAATGTTCATAATTGATATAATCTTTTTTATTAAATATCCCACATGTTGCAAATATGCATTTTTAGAATATTCATAATATCTTTTCATCACTTACATATTACTCTTAAACTTATAAATTAATAGCATTTCACATTTAAGCTTTTGATTTTAGATAGTCAACCCATGGTCAGCCTGATACTTCTGTATCTTTGTCATGTTGGGAATCTTTTGTAGAAATGTAAAAATGTGATAATAATTGTTTTGATTAACTAAAAAATGGGTATACTTTGACATGTTTTATTCCAGTTTAATCCTGACCTTGTTCTAGTGTCGTCAGGCTATGACGCAGCTATAGGATGCCCTGAGGTATATAGGTGTCTCTGTGTGTCTTGTATGTTGTGGTGTGCTGCAACTAGATCTTGTTCTGTTGACAAATTTGTGGAATAAATGTGGTTTCAGGAAAAAAACTGGTCAGTCAGTTTAAGTAGTAAATAATACCAAGGACGTCTATCTCAAGAATCAAAATTCTTTATTTTTAAAAAATGTGTCATAAATAAAACTTGATTGTACAGATGTTAACAGGACAAGATGGGGGCAAAGTAATCATTCTTGATTATATGGGCATTCGAGAGAAGCCCATTGTTATATCAAGGTGGGTTCTAGAAAGTTGTTGTGTCATAAGGACTCTGCCAATCATCTAATAATCAATTAGTCCACAGTGAAATTCTCTGGATATTGTCATACAGACAAGTCCTTATGTCAAACACCTTCTAGAAGTCATTTTCTTCTCATGAATTTCATCTTTTCTTTGTCTATTTATTTATTTTTTGGTCTAGTTCTGTCCTGACCTTGTACTTGTCTCGGCTGGTTATGATTCAGCTATTGGGGATGAAAAGGTTTGCTATCTTACATTTAACTTTTTAATCCTATGCATACTAAGTTTACAGAAAGCACTTGATGTGGATAGCAAGAGTGCTTGGTGCAGAACCACTGGTCATTTTTGAATTATATCCCATCGTCAAACATTATTTCCTCTGTGCCACTAAAACAAAGGTTCAGGTAGGTTTGCAAACAATATAAGATGGTTATATCTTGAATTATGTCTATTTTCTGACCATGAAGACAGGTATATCTTTTGGATCCATTCACTACCTCAAAGAAAATTATATACAATGATAAAGTCATAAACTTGGAGATTTTTAGCTAGCAATCAACCCATCGACACACTTTTTCAAATGTTCAATGCATTACTATTCTTTATTTTGATGTATCAAATAGTTCTTGAAAGGAAAACTGAGTTCCTCTAAGAGTAGTGTTTCCCATATTATTTCCCCATTGAAAAAAACGCATGCTATCCATTGACTTCAGCTTATTTTGGTCATCCAAATTTAGTATCTTTAAAGTCCCTTGAGGAATCAACTTTTCCTTTTAGGAAATAGAACATGTATCACATCACATTCTAATTATGCATTCAACAATATAATAATAAAAGGTTGCATTTTAGGTCAATATTTTTGAAAAAGTATGTTGATCGGTCCATTGCACCTTTAATGTGACATAGTCTGATTAATTAAACTACATTTTATATACTTTTCTTGAAGATAATGAATGGGTCTAAAAGATACACCCATGTCTATGATCAGAAAATATTCATAATTCAAGTTAGAATCGTCTAAAATTGTTTGCGATAACCTACATGCTCCTTTGTCAATTGTAATGAATGAATTATCAAATTGCATACATGTTAGGCTAATCCAAGCCAACTTCTTTCTCCACCATAGTCAGAAATCTAAAGGGTATTACTTAGTAAGTTCATTCTTACCAAAATTAAGATGTTTTGTGAATATTGGAATTCTTCCAGTTTGTACATGTATCTACCCTCATTTAATGATTATATTATTAACAGGCCCGTAGCCAGGGGGGTTCGTATGAGTATATGCTGTAACTTTACATATTAAATTCCACCTTGTATCTTCGAATTCATTATTTTTGTCACCATCAATAAGATCCATATGCCAATTAGAATGTCTGAAAACTAGAACTCTCCTGAATGCGGTGTATTTGAATCTTTCGACTGTTCCCAGTTAAGTGTAATTTCACACAATCTACATGATATTGATTTATAATTTAATGATTTTTAAGAATGCAATGACTGAGTTATGTTCATGATTATGATTATTTGGATCATTTTCATTTTTTCTTTTCTGATTTAAAAAACAAACCACTAGTACTGCATCATTTTTTTTATTTTGCAAGTTGACTTGAAATTTTCATTTGATTTTCAATATGTATGACACTTTCTAACTAGACAGAATAGAGGAAAATTACTGACATTCCAATTTATGAAGTGTCTAAAATTATGCCAGAATTATTGAATACCTTTTACAAATGTATAAATTATATTTTCAGAAATGTTTTTATAAGTATGAAAATCTCAACTCCCATGACAGTGCTTATCTACAACATAGGTGGAGAAAATATCAGAATCTGATGATTTTAGCATTGCTAGATGAATTTTAAAAAAAGGACCATCGTGACAGATTATATTTGTGTTCTAATATCAGCTCACTACATAAGTTCAACCCTTTTTACGTTGATAATATGGGTGTGACACATTCTCAGGTTTTGAGTAGGAAGGAATCTTCTATTACAGTACTACACTCCCCTTGAGGATATTTCGTACCATTCCCCATGAACAATTTGATACCAATTATGTTTCACCATGTTATTAAGCAGGCTTATAAGTAATTAATTAGTAGCCAATAAGTAAGACATCACAACTTTTACTAATCTGATTAACCCTTTGATAAGTCAGGGCATAGCACAGAGGTCAATGGTCACTCTTTGACTCATTCTTCATATAATCTACTGAATCCCTCCAGACTCATTTCCTAAACACATGTGAACACATGGCATCAGAATTCTCAAATGCATGTTTGCTTAAGTCTCGTTTAATTCAGCATACAAGTTGAATAGAATACAAGAATACAAGTAGAAATCATTTGGTGCTAAGGTCAGGTGAATAAGGTGGATGCTTGAGTTGCTTAACACCAGCTGATCACTATTCAATCCTGCTTTGCAAAGGCAAAAAATTGAAATAAAAATGGATTGTGACTGATTGATATGCAGCAAAAAATCCTTGAAAATCCCTTTGAATATCGTTAAAAAAGCAATTGTTTGACTTTTACATATTAAAACAAATCAGTAGAGGAAGTATGGGCAAGGACCAGGAAAGCTTCAAAATGTAGTCAAAATTGGTTTACAATCCCAAATATTACACAAACTACTGCAGTCATTTCACCTGCCCTGCCTTAGATTTACTCTACTACTTAACTTTGCTATGACAACCACAGCATTGACCAATCGAATTCCTTGACGCTGAAACTTCAAAAATAAATTTAGATATGTTTAAATTATAAACCCTACAAAACTCATTGAAATCCATGAACAAATAAAAAAGACATTATTATCTTTATTTCCTGAACACCCTGTATATCACATTGTTATGAAAGAGGTCTATTTATAAGAATCATGACTAACTTATGTAAGCAATTGATTAGAACAGTAAGTTTGAGCAACCACTGTCCACTAATGATTCTGCTGAGGTTTCCAACTGTGTTCCTCTAATTGATTATTGTATCAATCATTTGGGATAGGTGAGAATATGATCTGAATTTGTTCATCAATCCCTCTTTGATCATATTAGAGCTGAATGAGATTGGCTTGGGTTTGGCTGTTTTGTTAATATGTGGTTTATTCCTACACATGTTTTACCTGTGTGTGTGTACCTGTGGTCATTATTGTTATGTCACCACCAAAATCATTTTTTTCAAAATTATCTACAAATTCTCAGTTGAAATCTGATTTTAGAGTTGAGATTTGACCTTCAATGACCTTCTCAAGGTCAAAAAGGTCGAAAGGTATTTTTTCAATTTTTTCAACTCAAATTGATTTTTTCAACTTTTTCAACTCAAATTGATCAATTTTTTTCAAAATCATCTACAAGTCCTCAGAATTTCAAATCTGACTTTAGATTTGAGATTTGACTCAAGGTCAAAAAAGGTCAAAAAGGTCTTTTTTGAACTTGCTTCAAAATGACAATTTTTTCCAAAATCATCTACAAGATCTCAAAAATTCAAATCTGATTTTTAGATTTAAGACTTGACCTTCACTAACCTTCTCAAGGTAAAAAGATACAAAAGGAATTTTTCAACTTGCTTCAAATCATGGGCTTTCAATTAGCCTGTGTTCAAATTGACCAATTTTTTTTCAAAATCATCTACAAGCTCTCAGAAGGTCAAATCTGACTAAGATTGAACTCCTAATATTGTGAGCAACTAGGTGGTGACATTTTGTTATGTTAACTATTATTGTAGGATGTAACAGGTAGCAGGGGTCCAACAAATGTTTTAAAAATATTTATTTTTTAATGTTATAACTAAGTCTTGTATGAGTAATAGTAAAATAAGTAAGGTAAGGGTAGTTAGCTATGCCTAATGCGTATCAGGGATATTGAAAATTAATTTGTTTGGTTCATGTTTGTTTCTTTTATTTTGTTGAATTTGTATGTGAGATATGAATGTTTGCCCTGTCTGGATTATGTTCATAGTATAGGAAAATGTGAATCAGTGGGACCTAAAACAATTTCAATATAACCTAAAAAAATTCTAAAATTAAAATGGAAGCTACAGATGTTTTTTTTTGCAATTTTTCGCCATCTGTCTATCAATCAATACATCCATACAATTGTCTGTTTGACTGCCCAGGAATTGCTCAAATATTAATGCAAAAATTTGTATTAACTTTAGGATTTTATGCAAGACCCAATGTGGCTTTGTTTATAAATATCACAAATTCATATTAAAAAGTCATTGTTGATTCCACACCAAACAGTAATGTTATCCTCACCAAGTGTTTTCTGAAGGCTCACTCTGCATAGAGTGCATACAAAACTTTTTTTCTGCTACAAATAGGTCACAATGACCTATTTGTACATGTATATTTCTTATATCAAATTTATTATTTTTAAATTAATAGTAAAAATTAAGTGTAAAACATTGTTTTAAAACTTTAGTTTATCTGAATCAGATAGGAAATCAAGAGTCAGCACATCAAGCTAAAATTAACTTTTATCTGTATTCAGTTGAAGATTTGATTGACAGCTCTATTTTTGGAAGTGAAATTGAGGGCCTGTGTTAAAACTCCAAGGTCAAGCTGATCTGGTCACTCTCTAAGATGATTTGAAAATAGAATTTTGACTAAAATTGATGAAGTCTGTGCTCATATTTCTCATTTCAAACATATTCGTAGAAAAAATGACCTTTTAAATCATTCTTGGCTGTCTAATATCAGTTCATTTGAGAGCTTTTATTGATTATTATTTTCATTTCGTAAGAGATTTTATAAGTGTTTTCAAAGCAATTTTTGTAGAAAGAACAATTTCAGTCTTCACAAGTAAAGAGGTTCACTTCACTTTGTCAGAACTGTATTTTTTAAATCATTTTTTGACAGAAAAATGTAAGCATAACTTTATTTGGGTAACTATGTTTTTGGAAATTTTTCAGCAAAACATATTGAGAATTAAAATTAGTTTTCACAATTTTGTCAAGTTAATTGTTCTCTCCATGTACTTTTCACACTTTTCAAAATCCATATTTACTTTATATTGTATGTTGTTTTCTTTTACTTTTCTTGAATATATTTAATTGCCTCAGTCTTATTATAAACTCAGAACTTCATCATTATACTAACAATTTGATACTCTTCAGTTTGCATGATACATACTTATGTACAAACTTCCAATTGAAATGGAAAACTATATGTTCTGTTCTTCTTCTTTTGTATGCATATTGCCATCTACTTTGCATATTTTATTTTAACAAAGTTTTATCTGGATAATTAAGGTTCAGGCCCGTAGCCAGGGGTGGTTCGCAGGGTTCGGGCGAACCCCCCCTGGCCAAAAATTCTTTCAAAATCATGCAGTTTTTCACCATTTTGAGCACTTCTCAAGTGAGTTTAGCAATATTTGGGCCAAAATTGTCAAATGTGAACCCCCCCCTGGAAATCTTTGAAAAATGAACCACCCCTTGGCAAATCCTGGCTACGGGCCTGAGGTTGCTCTTAAAAAGGCATAAACCATCACTATAATTTTATACAGCACAGCACATGTTCAGATGTTCTCGAAAAGAAGTGCTCTTAAGAAATTATATATTCATTCATTTATCACATGTTACGATAATCTTCTCTGTGAATAAATCATTCAGTTGAAGGTAAATACAAATTATTTTATAGTACATATTAAATCAACATGAAACATGAAATAAGATATCACCAACGAGTGAAATCATTTGTATATATTTTTTCTACAGGGTGAGATGGAAGTGACTCCTGCATGTTATGCTCACTTCATCAATCTACTGCAAACTCTTGCAAATGGCAAACTCTGTGTCATCTTGGAGGTATGTCTGCTGTTACATTTTGTCCTTCAAAGAATTATACCAACAGGGGATTGTATATTGGGTTTATCCTTCAAGGCAATAATGATATCTTCCCAAGGGACTGATTAAAGATATCATATCATCTCAAAAGATAAATCCAGTATACATTCCTTCCAATTCACGGGTAACTAGAGTATCCGCGTATATTGAGTATGACCGGTTCTTAGGCTACGAATATGACCTGTTTTGGAAAGTCATGAGAGGCACAGCTGCTTAAAAATGGAAAATAAAGGTTAACTTCTATATTATCCTTTTTGAAATTGTGTTTGTTGAATATAGTTTATGCTGTATTTAATAGTAATGTAACAAAAAATGTTAAACATGAGCTATTTTAGCAATATAACTGTTCATAATGGAATATCAATCAGAAAATACAGATTTCTCGCCTTAGAGCCAAATCATTAATATCACAGTAGAAAAAAACAAATCCCAAACCTTTTTATGGCTAACCTGAACAAGATCTCCAAATCTCAGTTTATATGATCCCCCGTAGAGTGAGCAAGAGAAGGATTTATCTTTTCCCAGAGGATACGCTTGTGAAATGTCATGGAAACAAGTGTAACACGGCCCACTGATTGTTTCACAATCGTATTCTCCAATAATGGGGCACCAGTGACATTCGTATTCTCAAAAATTCAAAGATGTATCATATTTGGACAGAGCAGGCTAAATTATTTAAAATATTCATGACTAATTCGTAGATCTAGCTATATGTTATACATAAGATGTGTCATCCTCTTCGGAGTTACGTTGTGTTACACAAAAACTGATCAAAGATGCTGGAAACTAGGATTTTACGGCTTCAATCTAATATTAATAGGTTTTCTCTTGATTAAGGCCCCTTGTGATATGCCTGGCATTATAAGTATACCAAGTATCATTCATTGACTAAGTAGGATAAAAAGAAAACGTTCGAAAGTGTTCATAAAAAGCAAGTACTCACCTCGTCTGTTTATAGGAACAGAAATACGGTCACACTCGTAAGCTTAGAACCGGTCATACTCAATATACGCGGATACTCTAGTATCCTGTGCAATTGGTAGATGAACTTTTTATACCATTGATGATTTTTAATAATAAAAAAAATTATGTACTGAAGGATAATTGCATTCAATGGTATGTTCTATTGTACAACATTTTCTTCTATATATGTATTATAATGAAAATGAAATGCATGTGTTCATTATTTTTATTTCTGGATGTTATACAACTACTGGATGGATATAGTAATACATAAAAATTGGTATAATTGATATTTACCCATTCTCCAATTCCATAACAGTACTTCATGTAGCTCCACTTTGTTTTTGCAGGGTGGTTATTGCATTAAATCTCTCTCAGAGGGAGTTGCATTGACATTGCGGGCATTGCTAGATGACCCGGTGCCCTCTATACCAGCCTTGGGGAAACCATGTGATGCGTGAGTGAACTTATTTGACATTTGTAATAGTGATATCAATAATAATGGCTGAATGGAAATGTATAGTGCATTGAAAGTTTCTTCTTTCATTTGATTTTAACAATATGAAAGATTCATCCCAGGGGATCCATCGATAAATCATATTCTAGAAGACCAAAATAAATGTGATGTCGGTTGGGGACCCCTTCTCAAAAGAAAAGACCAATAAATGGCTCCTATTGGTAAACATTAATGAACTTTTGTAAAACAAGCTCACTGACTTAAAATGAATCTGCGCGCAGTTAACAAAAAATGAACCCCCTCTTACATAATGCTACTCCCCTCTGCTCCCCTTCCCCATCCCCTGTTGCATCCCATTTATGATGATTTACTGTACAAGTGTGAGTTCATTTTATTTCTAGAATTGTCGAGACAATCCTACAATTGATCACTGAACTACGGCCATTTTGGAAATGTCTAGCATTTCAAGATGACCTTGAACCTGGGGAAGCCTCTCAAATACCATCTGGTGGTGAAAGGTATTATTACACTGTTAGAATAATCATTTCTGAGTTTAAAAATATTTACTATGGTACTACATGTATGATATACATGTAGTGTATTGCAAACATAAACAATTTGGCAATATTAGAGAGGTTAAGCAACACTACTTTTTACAACGTAAACCTCGAACAGGAAGGTGCACGCAGGTTTTTCTCAGGATGTGACGTCATATTGTTCTACTTATTTCCCAGTTTACGTACATCCAAACGTGAAAAATCAAAGTCAAGGTAGGTCGTTCCGTAAAGGAATTCTAGTACTTTATCAAGTTCGTTGAGATAAATATGATATTGGTCGAATGCATGAATATGTTTGACACAAATCTCTGTATATATCGAGATCATTTGTGTCCAAATCTAATCAAATATATCTTGAATATTTAGGCACCCATTTCAAATCTAAAATCTGATGCAATTACATGCATGGCAATTGCCCACATGTCAACTCATCTTAATTCTACTATACATATTGTGGCACCAAAGTAATAAAAAAACTATGAATGCTTTAAAGACATTAAAGATATTATTGCGTCCTGTTGTATTTTGTAAGATTCAAGATGTCATAGAACACTGCCAGGCTGTGAAACATCTCCTTTGATAAACATTTTCATCAATTTGTCAATAAAATAATATTTAAACTTTTAAAGTAGATAATAAAACGAAAGGCCGCTAAGAAAAAGAAAAAAAACTTTTGAGGTTTGCGTTTACGTTACATCTAAAGTGCTCAGCTTAAAACACCTAAATGGGAACCTAGGTTTACGTTTGCAGTTCACGTCATAAAAAATCGTCCTGCTTAACCCCTCTATTTTCACCTTTGCATTCACTACATCGAAAGGTCTAACAGAAGTCCTTTGTTGCTAAATTCAATCCACATTTATTAGGCCAGAACATGTTGAATTTTCCACTGATGCCAACAAACCAGAAATACATGTACTGGAAGATTGCTACCCTATACAAGATAATAAGGTGAAACTGATGCTAGAGTCACGTATAGAGGACCTTATACAGGGAACTGACCTCACAAAGCCAACTAATAGGTATGTAAGATGTGGTCTCCTATACATTATGCACTCAATTATATTACCCCGCATAATGTCAGTTTGAGAAATACTTAGGATATGGGAGAAGCCATTTGTCCATCCCTCCACCAATCCTACAACTCAAATACCAGTTGACAGATTCGTATCCAACTTGATGATGTCTTGTGTGTGTGCATAATATCCTAAATGCGAGTAGAAATAATCTTGATTTACATCATTAAAAATTCACAAATTAGTCAAACTGATGTCATATTTGGAATCTGCTTGTAAAATTACATCTAGAAATGTGGTTTTGCAGAGTTTATCAACTATAAAAAATTATTTTTCTTTAAAATGTGACTTCTAGGTCGGGGAGATTCCCCATAGACCCCATGTAGTAAAACCACAAAAAGTGAAATATCTTTTCTTGTGTTGGGCAGATAATATTTTCTCTTACTGGACATATCTTAATTTGTATATCACTATCACATACTGTACATAAGGGTAATATGAAAAGTGAACCACTAAAACTGATGAATATACAAGTTTAAAGGAATTTTGTAATACCCTGCCATGTTATTTCCACCGAATCAGCCACCTGGTGGCGAAACTGGTAACTACCTACTCGCATCTGAGTAATTAGTAAAAATTCTCTCATTAGAACTCAAATACTGACTTGTTGGATTTGGTTTGAATATATCCTGTTCTTAGGGCATAGAATTCTTGTTCAAGAAGGATTTTTTAGAATGAAGCTCAATCTGAAATGGCTGCCAGTTTTCAGAATTTTTGTTATATGGGCAATTGGGATGTCTGTAATGTTTAACTGAACAATATGTTTTATTTTTCTTTCAGAACATGTTTGGTTTATGATCAGAAGATGATGGCACATAGGAATTATACAGATCCGTGAGTAATTTATATCTTTCCATTGGATGTTTTAATCTAAGTATAACCTCATTCAATTAATAATTTGGTAAGAGGAGGGAATAATCCCCAACATACCTTGATCCTATCTACATGTACATGTACTGGTAGGCCAATGAAAAACTGGGTCACTCTAACATGTAGATAAAGCATGTATGATTGGTACATACATGCATTCCACCTTCTTACATTTGCTGCAAAAAAATAAAACTCTTCTTCATTCAATCATTTATTTATCTTTAACAGTATTAATTTATGTGAACATATATTTAACTTTTAAGGAGCCATCCAGAAAGACCAGAAAGAATTTCCCGTATTTACTCAAAACACAAAGAATATGGACTTCTAGACAGATGTAAATTATTAAAGGTTTGTACTATTCCATCTTTTATTCAGTTGTATGCATAAATTTCTTCTCTCTAACATGTGAAAGGGTCAGACATACCTTTAGGTTTTTGAATAATTTTTTTCATTACATACATGTACATGAAATTTTCCATTTCAAAACAACTTTGGAAGTTCTTTGCAATGGTTCAAATCACTTAAGTCTTGAGACATCCTGCAGGCCCTTAGCCAAGGAAAGGTTTGGAAGTTCTTTGCAATGGTTCAAACCACTCAAGTCTGAGACATTCTGCAGGCCCTTAGCCAAGGAAGGGTTTGGAAGTTCTTTGCAATGGTTCAAACCACTCAAGTCTGAGACATTCTGCAGGCCCTTAGCCAAGGAAGGGTTTGGAAGTTCTTTGCAATGATTCAAACCACTCTTCTGCTGGCCCTTAGCCAAGGAAGGGTTTAGTAGTTCTTTGCAATGGAACAAACCACTCTTCTGATGGCCCTTAGCCACTGAGCGTTGGGGGTTCAAAAATCAAATCAAAATCATGCTGTTTTTCACCATCCTGGGCACTTTTCAAGTGATTTTGGCCATTTTTGGGCAAATGTTGCCAAATGTGAACCCCCTAGAATCTTTTAAAAAGTGAACCCCCTCCCCATTGGGAAAACCTGGCTATGGGCCTGATCTGTTTATATGACCCCTTAGAGGATGCTTTTATAGTTGATGAAACTGAAATTAAGTATATTAAATATAAAACAAACTATATCAATGTTTATAACAATATTTTGTTATTAAGTTTTAAGTAGGGAGGGATGCAAATGTCAGAGGCATGAATAAATTATAACATCAGTGAGTATATTAAGTTATTTTTGATATATTGGCAGCTTCATTTATGAGAGATATCACTTGAGTTAATCACTGTAAAGCTTATGAGTTGAAAGTGTGGAAATAAGTAGAGATAAGTGCTGATAAAGTATTTAATAAATTATTTTATTTCCCTAAAAACATGATTGAAATAAGACAAAGCCTTATGTGTCAAAACATAAAGGATTCATGTTTTGAGCCTTTTGATGATCAATAAACAATCTTGACTATAGACTCTAATACAGATAATGTTTTTAGCTCAAAATATCTAAAATCTGTAATGAATTCCATATATTTATGCATAGCAATTCAATTAAAATGAGATGCTGTTGCGAATGCGTTTTAGCTATAACCCATTGTGTGAAACCTCTTTAATGTGTTTCATTAATTAAATGATATCTTAATAGACATTACTGGTCCCTTCCTAATAAACTTATATGTACATGTACAAAGAAAATAAAACAAAAATAGGTGTGATTGTCTGGCAAAAGCATGATATACATGTAAGTATATGAATAATATTCATAATATTTACTCATAAATGAAAATACTGTATAATACATATCGTACATATATATTTAGGTCTCATATAAGTGATATGCATGCTATTTATATGTGTAAACAGTACTATTCTCATGAAAATGTGAAAACTTTTAAGTGAATTACGTACTTGTAATCATAATCATGAAAATTACAAATATGAAAATACAAATAATCTAATCATACATATTAACCATACCTGTGCATATGTATATAGTACATTCATCCATTTACAATTTTACATAGTCACACAAAACATCAATTCATCATATTATATACACAAAACCATGTAGTGCTAAAAGTACATTGTCCATCCATAAGCATCACCATTCACCACCTAATATATGAACGCATACTGGTTACATTTACATATCTGATTGGCTATAATATTATTATCCCCTTGTTTCTAGCGTTTGATCCAATTCATGGATTTTGTCCAAACATAAGGTTATTTGGTTCATCCATCATACATAGCTTTAGCTTCTTCCAGAACAGACTCTGGGCCCGTGCATTCTCTTTGTCCCATTCTATATATGTCATGTGTTTCATTAGAAGTCTGATTTTACGTGGTAGTTTCTTTTTCGGTATTGCCTCAAGGAATATAAGCACAACAAGGTTTCTCTTTTCGTCGAATTGTCTCAAGTTGGCCATCTCTAGCTCAAAACCACACCATTGGCTCTTGATAAATTTTTCTGTTATGACAAAAATCAGTTTCCGACTTTGTTGTATGGAATCTATGATATTGTCAGCGATGTACTTTCCAGGTATGAAGTCACGTCCATCAAAACAGATTTTGAAATTCACGTCATCTTGGGATTGTTCCATATTTGGTAACATGTAGTCGATGACCCATTTCTGGCTTTCACCGTTATATGACACAAATCCATCATACTGGTATCTGCCCCCAATGGTGTCATTTAGCTCTGTGTAGCCATTACGACGTCGCCTCGATCTACGCAGAATCCACCAGTATTTGATATCCCATCGAAAATATGTCAATAGAATCCCAAGAATCAAACAGATCGTAACAATTAGGGCTACTAGGATAATCCACATGTTATCACATTCTATCCACGAGATTTCAAATGAGATAATACTCGATTTATTCATTGCTGAAGGTATCACACATTTTTGATCATAGCCATGGACAATATATTTTCTGTGTTGCATCCAGTCTCTAAACTTTCTCAGTTTACAGTTACATAGGAAAGAGTTTTGGCTTATGTTTAGCATACTCAGATGTTGTAAATGTACAAATGCTAATCCACTAATGTATTTTATGGAATTAATTTGAAGATGCAAACTTTTTATATTTAGATTTCTCCGAAGATATCTTTTTGAAAAGTATGTTAACCGATTGTCTTCCAGATGTAGCTCAGTTAGTGCCGTCAATGATTCAAACATGTGCTTTGGCAGTTCAATGAGACTGTTCCCTGATAAGTCCAGAATTTCAACTGATGCAAAAAGTTTGAATAATTCGAGTAAAGCACTATGATAGTCCTGTAACTTATTGTAAGAAAGGTTCACATTTTTAAGGCTTTTTAAGCCCGAATAACTGAACTTAACATGTTCATTCATTAGAATTGCGGTATTATGACTCAAATCAAGGTTCTGCAGATATGACATGTTAGTCAAAGCAACATCTCCCAAGTCAAAGTCCCCTTCTTCTTGGTGTTCGGAATTGACATTGCGCATATTAAATGTTGTAAGGTTTGGCATTATTTTGTAGTAATTCACTCGTTCTTTGACCAAGGGATGATTGTTTTGCGACATGTCAAATACTTTTAACGTTTCCAATGGACTGATCTCTTTTACTCTGTCTTGAAAGTGATTGTCACTTATGTTTAAATATTCCAACTTTTGGGAGTTGTTGAAAATAATAGAAATTGTATTTGTTTTCAAAAGTGCGTTGGAATGGAATGATAAATATTTCACATTTTTCATTTCGTTACTTGCTTCAAAAAATGCAAAATAAGGGCTATCGTTGATTGTTAATGATTCTAGATTTTTCAGATGTTTCAGAGTATTATTTGGCCATGTTTCCCAAAAATTGCAACTGAGATTTAGTCGTTGAACATGGCTCAACTTTTCAAAACTCTCTGGTTTCACTGACTTCATTGAGCAGTTTGCCGCTGTTAGTATTTTTATGTTTTTTCCAGTTATACTGTTTGCAATACTTTCTAAACCATCTGCACCTAGATCATTGTCACTAATGTCCAACTCATTTAGTTCATTTAAACCACTAAATGTGTCTATTGCCAGTTTTCGTATTTGTATGTCTCTTAGGAATAAAGACACATTTTTGATATCTTTGAAGCCTGTAAACGTTCCAGGGAGTATGTTCTTTATAGGATTATGAGACAAGGAAATTTTTAGTTTATTTTTAATCAATTTGGTCGATGAAAAGTTGATATTTCTGATATTATTTTTTATCAGGCTAAGTTCATTGAGATGCTTCAAGTTAAATCCTGCATTTAATACACTGGTCAGGTTATTGTGTTCTATGTGCAAAAGTTCAATATTTGGCATTCTCTCAAACGCATCAATGTTCACATGCGTTACATTTGAAGCATTAATGTAGACTTTGACTAACCTAACCAAGGGTTCATAGTTGTAGCTCTTGATAGTTGGCATCAGAGAATCACAAATCTCCAACTCTCTTACATGTGGGTTTATTTTTGGCAGTCCATCAGTTAGATTCATATTATTGCAGCGTACTGTACAGTCCTCATTGCTAGTACCCTTGCAACCACTTTCAAGGCATTGTTTTGCTTCACCAATGTCTCCATCTGAACATCCACTGGCCCAAAGAATGACCACGAGTCTCAAAAATATTTTTACTGGCATTATTTTGTTTTTTGACAGCATACAGTGTTGTACATGTTTCATCTGTCATTAGGTTGTACTTGACAAATTTGTTTGCATTCAAATCCAGCTAGATGTTTTTAATAGCATACAGAATTAACGTTGAATGCATTAATCTTTAACTATTTAATATCACACAATTTAAGTGCTATATTGTAACCATCTCGATTATCTATGACTCTGCATATAAGCATAGCCGTCTAATCTGTTCTACTATGTACTTAATATCATATTTTACTGGACACATGACCTGCAAATATGGTGCAATATTTTACCTTCTACATTTTGGTTTATATAAATAATTTGCTTTCTTTTAATTTAATACAAATATAACATATTTTACAGTAAGAGTAATTGAATACAGTCTGAGTCTCTTAAATAGAGTAGAGTCTAAATCACGATTTTGGAACATGACTTGATAGGAGGAAGTCCTTAGAAAAATACTATTTTACTTTTATGATTTCATTGGTTACATATCTACAAGGAAGTAAAATACTTATTTTTTGAGTTTAGGTGAAGTGGTTTCTCCCTCTTGTTCAATTCAAATATATTACAATATAACAATCCCACAGTTGATGCAACTTTGGCCCACAATGCAACTTTGGCCCAGATAATTGAAAAAATTCATACAGTGTTGTTAGGAAGGTTAAATAATCTACCAAGACAAGCAGGGAATGAAAACTGTTAACTAAAAGTCAATTTAAGTGAGGGAGTAAAAAACCTGCATTTTTCCTTCTTTCCAATTTTCCGTGACACCTTCCATGAAGAGAGAAACCCCATAGAGTAGTCAGTCGCGTTCACCCTGCTCTCTTAATTGATAAGATAAAATTGAATTAATGGATGTCAGTTGACGGATTTAGTTGAAAGGATGGGTATCAATATGGTGAACTTTTTGAAAACATGTTTCTCTTAAACCAGTCATCAAAAAATTCTGAAAATTTTACATATTGTCAATTTAATAGTCATCTTTTGAATCGTAACAATATAATTTGAAATAAATGTAGTTACTTTTCTCTAAACTGTTTTAGAAAACACATCAGACACTTCTTTTGTTCTTGGTATCATATGTTCAGAATGAAATGAAACATCTATCCGAACCTCATTGGAACAAAATGACATAAGCACAATGTGTTTAGGCCTCTCAATATTGTAATTTTACAAAGGAAAGTTTGGTTGATTTTAAAAAAGTATCTTGTTAATGAAATAAAAGGTTTATCTTAATTTTTATCTATTTGTTAAATACTTTTTTGAATACTTTTTGTTAAATCAACCAAAATTTCCTTTGTATAACTATACTATTGAGAGGCCTAAGAAAATGTTGTATTATACATGTAATGCTATTTTGTTCCAACAAGCTTCGGAAAGGTATTTTATTTCATTCTCAAGAATTGGTAAAGAGGAACAAAAAACCATTGCACTAAAAACAAAAAATGTTAACAAAAACAGTTATATAAATATATTTTTTCAATAATTGGTTTAAGAGAAAAACATTGTTGAATTCAGTTCACCATATCGATACCAATCCTTTAATGGACTTATGTCTTGTGCCATTATTTTCAATATGGCTGCTCAACAATATATTAATGGCATTTGTTAACCATTTGCAATATTACTTGTTAACAGGATAAGATTTTGTTTTGTGTTAATGTCACTTTTATTATTCTTTTAGTCTCGAGTTGCCAAAGAAGAAGAGTTAGCTTTACTGCATGAGTGAGTACAACATCGATTTAATTCCATTTAGATTCAATCATTTAACCATTCACCTTATATGAGGTTATAAGATATATGATGGAGTAAGAAATGTATTGTTGTATTTTAATGCATTTTGTATGTAATTGTTACTGTAAAATAGTCTTGCTTCAAGACCCTGGACTATCTACTCTAAAAAACTGTAAAATTAAGGATTGTCAATTAAAAATCTTTACTATTACAATTTGGCATTTGGTTTTCAATGATAGCTCCTCCTTTCATAGTTTCAAATGTTCCCACAGAGAAATTTGAAACCATGATTCATTTCATTAAACATTTATTGGTTGTGCTAACATATTCTTCAAAATTCAGCAGTTATAATGTTTATCTATGAAATTATGAATAGCTTTTGCATTGTCAAAAAAGTGTCATTTATGATTTCATTTCATGAATGATTCCCTGAAATAAAAACAGTAAAAATTAAGAGATACAATGCCACATGGAAATTCTCTGTTGTTTATTTGAACTTAAAGCAACAAGCGACTGTGGACCAAGATGTATATTTTCATCAGGATAAATCTCATATCCAAAACCTTATATATGACACGTGTATTTTTGATATTTAGCCCTGACTACATATCTAAGATCAAAGAAACCAGCACTACAAAGCCACGAGATCTACGAGACATACAATACAACTTCAACTCCATATTCCTTAGTCAGGTTAGTTTTGTAGAGTACAGTAAAACCTATCTAATCTAAGCACAAGTGGGGCTCTGCTAAAAGTGTTCATATAGGCAGGTGCACATTTTTTAACATGGTAATCTATGGCAGATTAAATAAAAATGAGATCCAAAAAGCATCCACATTTAGAAGAGATGTTCAGATATAATACAGGTTTTACTGTACTATGATCTATGTATTTTATAGAAATATTAAAAACATCGAAGTCAGCTTATCTAGCTACATGTGCATATGTACAGTATGTATGGACTTAGAATCATCTAAAAAACATAAATATTAGAGATATGAATGACCAGAGAGATGAATTTACACAGAAACATAAATATTTCATTACTATAATTTTGATCATTCTCATTGTCCAGTTGGCCAAGTTTCTTTCAATATACATGTATGTATGTACATATGTAATTTGTATATATAAAGTCTATAATTCTTCATTGAATCTCAATATCATGCACCAATAAATCAGTTCTAATATTATGCCATGCAGTGATTTGATTGGTCACTTTTTGTTTCAGGAATCATGGGATTGTGCCATCCTTGCAACTGGATGTTTCCTGAATGTTATAGATGATGTCATGTCAGGACAATCACAGAATGGTGTTGCTATTATCAGGTAAGATGTCTAAGTAAAAGCTGTACTGAATTTTATGTCACCACCAAAAGTGGTGACATATTGTTATTGTCTCCAACTTTTTTGGGGGATATTGTTTGGCAGTTGGTGGTTGGTGTCTCTAACAAATGGCAGGTGGTGTGACATTTTGTATGTTAATGCCTTATAGCTTGTAAAATATGAGGTGTCTTAGTCCATATACTGTGCATTAAATCTTTGGCATCATACACCTTATTTGGGGAGGGACTTGATATTGTTAGCCCCTCTTGTAGTTATTATGCAATAAATCTCTGATTAGAGTTTTATTCACAAAGTACTAATCAGGATCCCCTTCAAAGAGGCAGTATCTGAAAGGAGTACAATTACAGTACAGCCCTTGATATTTTTGCATTAGAAGATGTAAAATACATTCAACTATCAGATACCGACTCTATCGAATGGAGCCAGAGAAGTTTTTACCCAAAACCTGAAGGAGCTGCCTAGTTTTAATTATAACAACTTTGCCACTTTAAAAAAGGCTAGTAAAATCAAGATTATGCTTTTTGGAGATTGTAAATTTCAGATGAATGTAACAAAGAAATTACCAATTTATCAGCAAATCTTATTGACAAAATCATCTGATTATTTATAAAAAATTCATGATAATAAGGACAAAGTTCAACCCATCTTTCATCAATCATTATCATTCATTCCTTACATTTCCCATAAGGACCATGTAACACTTACAAAAGACAGGACACATGTTTTGAGAACCGTTATAAATATATGTTAATTTTGCAAATTTTATATAAGGGAGGCCAATAATGTAATGTTTTACCTAGGCCTTCCTAGTATGTTAACAAGTGTAAAATCTTATTGCAAATAAATAAAACTTAACCGTAAAAAAAAAAATACCGACTCCTACATTTACAGTGTCAAATTTAGATCATTAACTTAATGGTTGAAAAGAAATTAAAACACCCACTCTGAATCTGATTGGCTGCCTGGGTTCAAGTCACGTGACGATGCTTGTGTCAGGTGACAGGAATTTTCTTCAGGCAGAAAGCTCAAATTGTGTTCAATTCTGACAGTTAGTCGTTCTGTTGATTTTCTCAATATATTGACAATAATGGTGCCCACGGTGTTGATCCCAAGAAATATCTAATGTATGTAAGATATATAAGCAATTATAGTGGAAGATCACTGATTGACCAGGAAAGAAACCTAAGAGACACTGCATTTTTAAGGTGGTTAACTCGTGAGCAAGTAATTTACAGTGCACTTAAGAGTATACAGCATGTAATGGTTTTATTTTATTCCATCAAATTCAACATATAACACTCATTAACTACTGCACCAGTGGTACTCTTCAACATATAACTGTAGCTGGCAAATTAAAATTGCATGATGTAATTTTGGCAACAGTCTGTTCCATTTTAATTTACCTAAGATAATGATTAATTACCACAAGGTAGTTTACTGCATTGTTATAACAGTTATTATTCACAAAAATGTGTTCATGTGTGTATCAACCTCTTGACTTAATGCATGTACATGAACTTTCAATGGGATTAGCTATGTCCTAGCATTGTTGTCCTTATGTTCATCATCATATCTGATCTGTAATAGAGGTGTAGTGGGTGGGGGTATGTCCTGCATAGTAAGCAAGTAACATAACCCAAATATGAATCCCATACAAACCTCTTGTAGGTGAAATACCCCACTATACAGTATCGCCAATAAAATGATGCTTAATGTGAGGCTATATATATGTATTGGTTCTAGTTTCCAGTCTGTGCCTTCCGGTTCTTTTGTTTTTGGCTTATCTTTATCCCTCATTGTTTTCCAGAATCGAACTATTTCATCCTCTAAGGTCTTTGTTTCAGCTTCCAGGTTGGCTTTAGGGACATTTAGTAATTCACATTTAATTTCTGTGTCAACTAATGCTTCATTGTTGGTAATGTTTTGTTGCTGTACATTGTTCAGGTCCTCATCATTTGAACCATCTAGCATCATAACTTGGTAATGTATTTCACTCTCTGCTGTTTCGTGAAGAGTGATATTGATGATGTTTTTGAGAATGGTTTCTTGAAACTTTGCTTGTCCCTGAATGCTGGTGCGAGTTTGAGTGAGGTATGGCATTGTAGTTTGAATATTTCTACTCAAGTGACCTAAAGGTTCATAAAAATGACAGATTGGTTGTAGGGTATCGACAAGTGTTTGCAACAGGATTCTTAACACAGCTATGTATTTTAGAGTTGGTGTTATTTGAGATGTTACACTTTTCAAATTCAGGTTATCAAAGATCCTCATGATGTATACTTCATACTCTGTGATATCATTCTGCTTTAGATTCTTCACAGCTTTGTTAATTTCTTGTGTGAGATCCCACAAACTCACACAGGGTTTTATTTGGTGTAGTCTTTGAGTATGATTTATGAAGTCTGCAGCTATCATCTCTAGTTCAGGGGAAATATGGTTGGCTCTGAGTCTATCAAATGCTGGATCTTTTTCAATTTTGAGATATTCTGTTGAAAGGTAAATCAACACTAAATGGAGTTTTTCGATTATAATTTCACAGAATTTATTAAGGTCATGGTACATATCTTTCATTGATTTCTTGAGTTGGTCGTATTTAGCGAGACGGGAACTTATTGCATCAAGCAGGTGATTGGCCTTCTGATATTGGGCACATGAGAATCTATGAAATCTATGAGTGATGTCCTTACAACAAAAAACACATAAGATTTCTCTGCAGTCTTCACAATACAAATCCAGTTTCTCTAGGTAGTGTCTTGTGCATGTGTTGTTGCTTTGTTTGTAGATTTTTGCATGTACAAGGTCATGCCCTTGATGGAGGATTATTTGACATTTTTTACAGACAGGAGTTGAACATGTGTTGCACCATTGTTTGTTCAATCCAGTTTTTCCGACATTTGAATTACAATATTTGCAATGATCTGTATTGACTGCTGCAATTCTAAATCGCCTTTGTATGGCGTTAGTACCTTGAGCTACTATTGGTCGCTTTATCTCATTTGTCATAGTACCAATGTGACTTGTCTCTGGTAAAGGAGCTGTTGTGTGTACAGATCAGGATTTTGGATGTAAAATTTCAATTTCTCATTAATCAAATCCAACATTTGACGAGCCAGAAAGATTTCTGGAAAGTCTTTACTTCCATGTGGAACTCTACATGTAGTTGATGTCTCTACTCCACATATTGGGCATTTAACAGAGCCGAAGCTATGACTTTTCTCCTGGTGTTTCTGCAAGCAGCCGAGACAAATCATGTGCCCACATTTTAAAACCTTTGGTGTTACACAGCTTTACTCCTTGAGGCAAATTGGGCAGCTGAGTTCCACGCGCAGTTGGTCTATAATACAAAAATTCAAATCATTCAAATGGACTTCTGTTGTCAACAGTACTCTGAATATATTTGTGTTTCATTATTTCCTACTTGAGTCAATTATTTCTTATCTCAACTAAAACATGAACAGTAACTTTGTACTCTAGTAGAACAGTTTAGCTTGAATACCAAAACTGTTGTTTTCAAAGTCCCTACATGTATCTTTAAAGGTTTGTTATTGATATTATTTGAAGCTCTATTTCATTATTTGTGTGTTGTTATCTTTTTATTAACTTTGTTGTTGTCTTTTCAACTCCCTTGAACGAAGGACTGATATTAGTGCTCAAATATTTGAAAAGCTTTTATGCCACATGTGTAGCCACAGAACCTTAAGATATGTGATCGTAAGCTTATTTATTGTAATGTTAGAGTTATTATCACTTCCTGTACATAGAGCCTTTTTTCTTTACCTAATTTGCCACTTCCTCCTAAAGGAACATAAGGCTTTTATTATAATTAATATTATTATTTTCGAGTAAATTAGTACTATTGTTGTAATTTGTAGTTCACTGTCATTTTGTGTTACCAGACGTGCAACAGGGCAAAATGTTCAATCACTATTAAAATTAACGTAAGCAATAAGTTTACAAAGCAACAAGGGAATTTAGTTGTAATTTCATGCGAACAAAAGAAGTGTCTGATATGTTTTCTAAAACAATATAGAGAAAAGTATATATATTTACTTCAAATTATATTGTTACCATTCAAAAAATGACCATTGAATAGACAATGTGTAAAATGTTCAGAATTTTTGGTTGACTGGTTTAGGAGAAACGTGTGTTCAAAAATTTCACCATATCGATACCCATCCTTTTACTCAATTCTTAAATCAGCGACAAAGCCTTAGTCACTTTGTGATGCTTTTAATATCCCTTTAAGTATGTTTAACTCTCCTAAATTAGTAACATTTTCAATATTTTTATTTTGATATGATTTAAACTCTATACAGTACCTTAGTCAGTGAGTACTAGCAGTTGTTAATCATTTTGTGCTACATTAGTAAGTCTTGTAGCTATCAGCAAACGCCTTATTGATTTCTTTTGTCATCTGTTTTAAATTGATTTTTTGTTATACAGTACTGTACAATTTCAAAATCAATATCAGACTATATACATGTTTGTCACAGTAACCTAAAAGATATCAAAAGCTATTTATTAGTTCATGTAACATTCAAAAGTATCCGTACTCTGGACTTTTTGTTTACTGTACATTTGCAAGTAGTTGCTTGTCAAAGTTGATTAATTGCCCAAATATATTAGATAGTGTTCGAACTGTGTCAAAATTTGATATGTTTTGTTCATGTTAATTGATAACTCTAATACCTCAGCCACATTTGCTCTCTGAATTCGAGAAATCCTAATGAAGGGACTAAAAAAACAATTAAAATGAGCCATCCTTACGAGGATGCAGTCTGTAAAGTTTGTTTCCAGATGAGAGTCAAATTAATGATTGTCATTCCCCATTAGCACAAAAAATTAGTCAGGAGAATAAAAATTGAAAAGGGAAGCTAATATGTGGATCAAGTTGAAGTAACATTCATTTTATACTCTATTTCAATAAGAAAATGATTGAAATTTGTTTAGTTTTAATGGATGATAATAGGGTTAGTAGACAGAAAAATCAGTCAGTTAAATCAAAACAAATGGTTCAATTCCTTTACAATTAAAAATCCAAATGAATAGCTCTAAATTACAAACAAATAGAGCAAAGTCATTTTTTAAACCATTTGGCCAAATCTGAAATTCATGAAAGATTGTAATCTGTTAATTAAAAGATAGTGAAATCCATTTTACCCTTTGCATTACCCTTTGCATTTGTTTGACTTCGCTTCTCAAAAGAGAGCTTCGTCTCACTCTTTCAATTTTCAATAAATCTCTGAACTCACCGAGTGAATCAGAGTTCGTTCGTCATCGACATACGCATGACTTTCTATGTAGTCATTTTCTCTGACACAATCGCACAATTATTGTGGACGCATTTAGCACTTGTTCCTTCCAGCTTGCTGATTGGTTGAGAATACTTCAGTGCAGTTGGTGTAAAATGATTTATAACCTGAGCTATCACGGGCATCGGTCATGGGGGAGGGGCTGCTAAACTGTAATATAGTCGATACTAGGCAGAGGATAATTTATAACTAGAACCTTATCAAGGGAACCTTATGATTTTATAACGAGAACTTGTATTTACATGTGTATACACATGCACCAACTCAGGTTTTAAAACTAATTGTGCAGATATACTTGAATATGATTCCATGTAGAACTAGAAAGTAGCATTTTATTTTTTCTCCTCCCATTTCATGGATGGGATCATTTTTATCCCACCGAACGAAGTTCGAGGGGGATATAGAAAAGCTGTTCGTTCGTCCGTCTGTTCGTCCGTCTGTTCGTCCGTCTGTATATATTACAAGATGTCCGTCCGCGCAGTCTCAAGTCTGTGGACCCTGAAGAAAGATAAGTAACATCGCAATCAAATCAAGACAATGAAAGAAGAAAATGAATGAAGAAACCAATGCAGCAACAACAAATGACGTCCGTTCGTGTGTCCGGGCAATAACTCAAATACCGGTTGACGGATTTCATTCAAATTTTATAGGCTTATGCCTTATGGGTGTAGGACCTCTGCTCGAGAAGGAATTTTCAATATGGCCACTAATTAAAAATGGTGGCCATTTTTCGGAAAAAATATAATCTTTGATAATTTAAATACCAGTTTATGGATTTGGTTCAAATTTAATATGCTGTTGCCTGGGTACAAAGGAGCCTTGCTCAAGAAGACATTTTCAAGATGGCCACCATATTACAAAATGGCGGCCATTTTTCGTAGAAAAACGTTATCTTTGATAACTCAAATACCATTGAATGGATTTGGTTCAAATTTTACATAGGAGCTCTGCTCGAGAAGGGATTTTCAAGATGGCAGCTAAATTTGAAAATGGCGCCATTTTTCCATAAAAGAACGTAACCATTGATAACTCAAATAACAGTTGACGGATTTGGTTCAAATTAGAGCCTAGAGACAAAGAAGACCCGCTCAGGAAGACATTTTCAAGATGGTCACTGAATTTCAAAATGGCCACTATTTTTCGTAAAAAGCCGTAATCATTGATAACTCAAATACCAGTGGATGGATTTGGTTCCAATTTTATATGCTGATGTTAAGGGAAAAAGGAGATCTGCTTTAGAAGAAATTTTAAAGGCATCAGCTGAATTCCAAAATGACTGCCATTTTTCATAAAAAGGTAATCTTTGATAACACAAATACCATTGGACGGATTTACTTCAAATTTTATACACTGATGCCTAGAGATAAAGGAGCTCTGCTTGAGAAAAAATTTTCAAGGTGGCTGCTATTTATCGAAATCTCCGCCATTTTTCATTAAACATGTAATCCTTGATAACTCAAGTACAAGTTGACAGATTTGGATTAAATTGTATATGCTGATGCCTTGGGACATAGAAGCTCTGCTAAAGAAGAAATCTAAAGATGACAGCTGAATTTCAAAATGGCAACCATGTTTGATAAAAACATAATCTTTGATAATTCAAATACCAGTGGATGGATTTGGCTCAAATTTTATATGCCCGCTATTTATCAAGACATGTTTTGTTCAGTGGGATTTGCTACTCCGTGGAGTTGCTGTTTTTCTAGTTTGATATGTATTTGAGTGTGGCACTAGAACTCATTAGTTCCTATGTTCTTTTTATAGAATCATTCTCTCACTATTAATGAAATTTCATCAAAATCCTTGTATCATCATCTTTCAATCAAATCTGCATCTTTCTTTAAAAAGCAATCATGAGTTGTGTGGAAGGTACATAGTGATATTTTGAACTATAATGAGAGAATATAATATGTGTCAATATGAGGAACCTTGCTTGGCATCGCTTGGCTTATTGCCGGGCTTATTGATTGTGATTTGATGTTATGCCGAAAAAAGTTCATAATCACATCAATTGAATATTAAAACATTGATTATCTAGTCAGTTATATAATTAAAAATGATATTTATATGTTATAACATATATTGAGTTTTAAAGAAAAATTGAATTAGTTCTTAAAACTTTTCTGAAAATGCTTACTGAATGAGTTCTTCGAGAAATGCCAATTTCACTCATGAAATATGCTTGGAACTTGTTCAGAATTTTGTGATCAGATTACATAAATGGTCTTTTTAACTTAGATCTATATTACATCTTTTATTTATATTAGCTATATGCAACATCACTGGTGATGAAGAGAACTTTTATCTTCCTATTTAGCATTGATTTAGCCAATTAGAGTAAAGAAATTTGAGTATACAGTATAATAATTTCATACAAATTAGCTTCATCTTTATATTCTAATTTTGAGAATACAAACAGCATTTAACCACTACATCTCTTCAATCCAAGTACCTCAATATGGAATCTTCTTTCAGTCCAAGTTCCTGATCCAGCCTACCCAGAAAACCATGTGACAAACCTTTACCTTCCCTTCATATAAGCGATACTACATGTATATTGAGGCAACGATACAGTCGTTTAGAACCCCTATTTAAGATATATCCCATGTTTATTTTCAGGCCACCAGGTCATCATGCTGAAGTTCACACTGCTATGGGCTTCTGCTTCTTCAACACTATACCAATAGGAGCCAGATATGCACAGAAAAGATATGGTTGTAAAAAGTAAGTTTGATACTTTACGATACTAACATTTTAGATATGCACAGAAAAGATATTGTTGTAAAAAGTAAGTTTGATACTTTACAATACTAACATTTTTGAAGTTTCAATGTTAAGTGTTTATGGTATAGGACGTGTTTTAGGTACATAAAGCAAGTTTTTAAAAACTTATATTTTCACCAGTGAGCAGATATAGCTTTACATCCCAGAGTGGGCAGATATATTATATGTGCCTGCTATGTCATAATCGCCATTCGTATAATTGGCTCATTTTTCTAACGTTGGCATAATTACTGTAAACAATAATGGAGAGCCAATCTGTCTGATGGTTTAAAGAAGGGAAGGAGTATGATTATCCCTGTTAATAATCCGTTAAAAATATTCGAGAAAACAAATGTGGATGAACATCTGAAAGAACAGGGAAATTCCGACCACTGCAAAAACACAAAACTGGACATGATTATTCTGAAATAATTCTTACGGTTGGTTGGAAATATTTGGAACTCAAGCCAATTGAAAAATGTGTACCAGATGACCAAGATTAGTATGGGACAATATTGGCCTAGGGATAATTCCAATATCCTGAAATTCATATAGGATAATTTCTATATAGTCTCCAACTTTTTTGTGGATGGAGGTTGGTTTTCAGTGGTCTGTTTCTGTAACAAATGACATTTGGTGACATTTTGCATGCTAATGGCTTGTTTATAATAGGGATGATAAGGTTTCTTGATTTCACTCTATCATTGGTTTGTGTGTAAATTGCTCTAATGAATATTAGAATATATAAAATGAGTTAATAATGAAATAAATGAATAATAAATCAAAGAATATAGTACTATATAAAATTAGTCAATTATGAATAATCACAATATTATTATAAATATAATATTATATAAATGAAGAAAATAATGCTATAAATTACTTGTACTAAACTCTAATAGTGAATGAAAAGTGACTTAAGAGTATTATGTTTCTACTAATGGATCTTGTAGGGGAAAGACACATTTCCTTTCCAATTAAATGCACTAGCGAGGCACTTGGCTTGTTCACAGCGCCTACACTTTATTTACGATTTCTTTCTGTAACTTAGTAGTAGAGTGGTTTCGTTCATATTTGATATTTGAATACTCATAAGCATGGTTCACTGTTTTATGACACTTTGGCTAGAGGGCTAAAATAGCTATAATGTGTGGCGTTATGTCGGTCCTGGGGTACCTATACATCCTTCACAGAAATAAAGATATATCAAATTATATTACATGTTTGTCTTCAAATCTTCAGGGTTGATAGATAATTGAATCATGTACCACTGGCACAAAAAACAAAGAGATTGGTCTATAAAAAGCATCCGTGTAAAAAGTGCCAATTACTTATTGATCACCTCTTGTATCTCTATAACTGTGCACCTACTAAAAGAAAAGATGCATACTTGTTTTTAAAAGTGGTTGATAATTGACATAAAGGGTTAAGTGTGCTGTTTACTCAATATATTTAAATATTGATAAATAAACCTCACTATACTTGCAGGGTCCTTATAATTGATTGGGATGTTCACCATGGCAACGGCACACAACACATGTTTGAAGATGATCCAAGGTTTGTATACACTTATTGTTTCCTATTTCAATTTCAGATAACCTTAGAACTCAAAGATTTAAATAAATTAAAACTGTTGGACCTTTTAGAAAACAGGCATTACATGGAAAGAATGAAAGCAAAAAATACTTTCACATTATGCCGATTGTTTCAAACTATTTACTCAACTTTTCTATATCCCTTCTACTCCCTTTTATCACCTCTTTAAGTGGAACATTTCTCCAAGTCCCTTTACCAATTAACTTAAAGTGTCTCACATATTCGATCAAAATTTGCCATGCAAACATGTTAGTCTACTTTACTGGCCCCCCTTGCTGTAACAAGGAACCCAAAACACATTAAAACGTAAACATAAACCAATTAGTCACTTCACTATGAAAGTGAGGGGTGTACGCTGTGTGCATGGACTAACACAATGCAGTGGTCATTTACTGTGTCAACTTAGTAACCCTTGCATATCGTGCTCACTCAAGTATTGAACATTTTTTTATGATCTAAATGTTTGTGGTTTATAAAAAAATGTGATATATTTTAGTTAGAAATACATTAATTAATATATTCATTCAAACAGCACTAGAATGCGGGAAGAAAGAGCAATGGTGACAAAATGCAGACAGAATTTTCCGTAAGGGTTTCAAACATTTCTGAACACAATCATACATGTACTTTATGTGTACTGTTATTTTTAGTGCTGTATTTATAGATATAATTTCATGTATTAAAATCATATTTTCCAGCAATGACTTCAAATTCGGAACCACACCCATATCACATTTTCTTCAATAACTCCAAACATGTGTAAACATTGACCATGTGCATATAAATTCAAATTTCACGAGCTCTTTCCTATTCGAGTACCTCATACACCCCTGCATGGATTTGAGTTGGATTCGCCTTTTATACGTGAGCCGACACACTCACAAACGCTGATTGGATAAAGATTGCGAGAATCTTTAACATGAAATGAACTTCAGTATGTAGAGATTATCCAAATTGGAAAACAATTTTGTGATACCAAAGCTGTGATGCATATTTATTTTTCCCAAGGGTGCAATACACTGTATTGTCCACCTGATGTTTTTTGATTATTCATTATTGAAAAGCTGTACATAATAAAAGGGTAAGGAGATTGAATTATGAATTTCAGGTGATAGGTCACTGCAACCAATACTAAGGCTCAAATTATGGAATAAATCTTCTAGTAATATTTATCCTCCTCTTTGAAGTATTTGATAGCTCTCAGTATTTCATATTTGCAAGTTACGATGATCTGATATTCATTCCATAACAGTAAATTATTGAAGAATACACTTTGAATTTGATAACAGGTGATCTACTATTTGTGGCTGCGCATCTAAATATGCTATATTCCATTACAAAGTAGGTGACAGTAAAAATACTCATGATTTTAATCATTAAAGGGAGACTCTGATCTAGTGAGCAACTTTAAAAAAATATTTTTGGTTTATATCATTCCTTGTCATGTCTATTTTCTAGAAATACCTAAAGTACATCTATTATTTGAGGAAATCTTAAGAATTTTACAATAATGTATTCATTTTTATGTCTTCACCAAAAGTTGCGTCAAATTGTTGTTATAGTCTCCAAATTTTTCTCCATTTGAACCTAAATAGATCTCTAATGGATAGCATTTCATGGACCTTTTCAGAGATATTATATTTGAGATTGTAAGGAATATACTGGAAGGTCAGTTGTATAATGAATGCTTGCAATTTTGTCAACCCCTAGAGAACTGATTCTGCCTTTAAATATTCACCAGTCAGAATGGTATCATACATGAAATCGACAGACAAGATTACAAAACTTTCAACCATTTATTAAGTTTCAAGGGGAACTGGTGACTCCACTAGCTAACTGGCATAAGTATGCCACAATGCATTGAGTCTTGGGATTGAACTTATTGCAAAATAGTTAATACAATATCACTTAAAAGATACAAAATAGCTCAAAAGAATATATTTTAAAAGAAACTTTTTGCAAGGGTCATCTTGTCACCTTGACAACCATTCAACACTTAGCATTTGACCTGCATAAGCATTTGCCTTAATTTTCTCTATGATACTATTTATAGATTTTTACTTGACTCTGAAAGCTTATGGCTTTCATATTAGTTTCACTAGAATCTAAAGATGACCTTGGGTGGGTTGTTGGTTATATCATGCAATGAAGTTATATAAAAAGCGTGTTCTGACTGGTTGAAATTGGACGCACCTTGCATTGCCTCCCTATGTGTGAATGACTGTTAGGTCACGGCTATATTTCAAAGAAAATTGGGTCAGCATGATTTTTTAATTAATTAAAATCAGTTTTGTCGTGAAGGTGCTCAACAGGAATTGAAGCTTACTCAATTCCACTAATTAAACGGGTCTTTGTTATTGAGTTTTCATTGCCTTCCTGAAAAGACACTGCGGAGTGAAACAGATATTTCTGGCCAACTATTTCTGCTGCTTCATGCCAACTATTTCTGCTGCTTCATGCCAACTATTTGTGGTGTTTCATCACTTAAGAATAACATGTGTCTGCCAGTGGGAAGCCTCATACTGAGCTCTCATTGATTTGAATTAAAGGTTATTAATGGGAGAATCCGATCTATAAGAATTAACAAAATTGCAAGCAACATTTGCTTTACCAATGTATTCCCTACAATCTCAGATGAAATATCTCCTACAAGAGCCATGATATGTAAAGAATTGGTAAAGTTAATTAGGGATATTGTTTAAATTCTCACAAATGATAAATATGGTAACTATATTTCTCGAAAAAAGAAATGTATTTTTGTAAAAATCTTAAGATTTCCTCAATTTAAGTTCTGCTTGAAAGCTGATTTTCAAGAAGGTCCCCACTTTTAAAATAGCCATAATTTTCTTGTTTTTCACAATTTTAATGTATTTAAAAAAATAGATTTAAACTCTAATATTAATATGTTTCAAATGCAAAAAATGATATAGCAAATTTAATAAGTAAAAATCTAATTATTTAAAGAGTACATGGCAGCCATCTTGCGACACACAAAATTTCACTTCAGTTCTACTTATAACTTATAGCTATTTGCATAAACATAAGTTTTATTTTTACTCATGAGCCAAGTCTATCAATCACTAAAAACTCTTTGCAGTGTGCACTGTGCAATGTTGCTGTTTGATATGCATGTAGTAGTTCTCTTATATCTGTTGTGTCAACTATTACAGAAAAAAACCTACTTCAAACGCCAATAGAATTAGTTAACAATAATTGGATTGGAGGTGTTCATATATTTTGTATAGTGGAAGTCAGGATTTTTAAGGTTTGATTAAAGGAACTAGAAGGATAGACTAGTTGAGTGAAAGTTTCACAAAAACGGTTACAATTTTACAATATGTTTCGCTCTCATTGTCATGCTGTTTTACTAATTTATAAAAAGTATAGTTTTGTATTTATTTTATTCATATTGCATTGCATTGAATTAGGATTCAGCACCCTGGCCCTGTTGAGAAGTAAACCTAAGAGATCTGTGAAGCTGGTCACTATTTCCTGGGACAAGACTGACAACCTGGCCCATAAGTGTACCACATGCATCCATAAGCGCACCACATAACCCATAAGTGCACCACATACACCTATAAGTACACCACATGCACCCATGAGTATACCACATACACATATAACTGCACTACATACACTCATAAGTGCACCGCATATACCTATAAGTGCACCATATACACCCATAAGTGCACCATATACACCCATAAGTGGACCACATACATCCATAAGTGCACCACATACACCCATAAGTGGACCACATACACTGATTACTTGTTTATATTTTCAGTGTCCTGTACATGTCATTACATAGATATGATGGGGGTTTTTTCTTCCCTTCTTCGCCAGATGGGAACTTTGATAAGGTGGGAACTGGGACAGGGATAGGCTTCAATGTGAACGTACCATGGAATGGGGTAAGTAGGAATACACTGTACATGTATAAACAAAGTTACACTGTTATTCTCCAAGCATGTATTTGTTTGGTTGCTAAGGTGAAATAACCTGATATTATTGACTCGAAAATCATAAGGGATAACATTTAATTCTTTTATACACTGATGCCTAGAGATAAAGGAGTTCTTCTCAAGATAGCAACTGAAGTAGCCAACATCTTTCACTAATACCAGTGGACAGATTTGGTTCAAATTTCATATGATTAAACCTAGCACAAGGTTCTCTGTTCAAGAGGAGATTTTCAAGATGGCTGCTATTTATCAAAACACGTTTTGTTTGGTGTGATTTGTTACTCCGTGGAGTTGCTGTTTTCTAGTTTTTACTTGAATGATCAGTTATATTCTGTAGCAATGAAATCAAAATGAGTGGAATGTTGGCATGTAATAACTGCGTATGAGGATGTTTATAAGTGACTTTTGAGATAAGAAGAGTGATGAGGGAGAGATAGGGTGAGATCAAATTTTGTGAACTAGTCAGTGAAAATAAAAAAGTAAAGATCATTGTTTAGGTACATACTTTACAATATGACACAGACTATTTTAGTTACAATTATTAAAATCACGGCTTATGTGGTGACCCTTATCAACATCAGAGAGTTAGGCTAAATGACAATATACTTTTTTATTTCCACAATTACAAACCATTATTACAAAAGCAATAAGACTGTAAAACATGTACTTGTATATTGAAACCCCTCTATAATCTGGACACCTCTCATTGTGAATACTTTTTAAATTCATTTCTCTAAATCTGCCATTTCAGTGTATATAACAAAACCTTGAACACCAACCAATCTGAGCACTTTTGGCCTTACTGTATCTGACTTCAAATGACTAGATGGTGGGACAATAAAAATTGTCCCGTTGAGTAATTACTACAATTCTGGGTACAAGATTATATATTATACACCACTGGAAAGAAAATTCATTTTCCGATGATATTCAAAAGTACTTCGCATATGGATTTATATTGACAAATTTACATTCCTTCTTTTCTATAACAGGGGTTTGTAAGCTTATACCCCCTTTGAATAACCACAGGGGTTGTCATTTTTGGCCCAACCTGTATAATTGTGTCAGCTCTTTACACTCATTATACAGATGTATGTATCCTTCAACATCAGGCTTCACTGCTTTACACAGGGTGTGTACCAAATTAAGCGTGACAGTTGAACGCGTTGGGTAACATGAGGGTGATGAAACTTGAGAAAACTGATATTTTTCATAGTTTCAGAAAGATCTGGTCTAGTTCTGGTCTATGTGCGTAGGAAGGGTGTCCACTAGGGACAGGTGTTCACTAGAGAGAGGTGTTCATTAAGACAGGTTTTACTGTAGTATATGGCATGACGCGTGGTAAGGGTACGGCACAACACAAGGAATTGTGTATCTCAGGTAAGGATTATGTTAGGTATGGCAAGTGATTCATATCTTTCTGCACAACAAGTACTTTCTGGCTATAAATACAGTGGTTTTTATTAAAACAATATGTTTTCTTTAAAGTCCTGAAGTCCTGAAGAAGTAAAATATCAATCAAACTCTCTGAAAAATTATGGATTAAAGACCCAGGTCCTTGGCACTTTTTAAAAAATGTCAGGCTTATTTTCTAAAAAGAGGATCTTGTTTTTTCAATTTAAACATATCAAAAGTTTTATCTAGGTTACCTGAAAGCTTATTGTCTGATGTCTAATGTATCAAGATGGTTCATGTTTTCTGTATAATACAAGATTTACAATGATTTCACACTTATGAGAATAGGACATAAACAGCAGTTACTATAAAACAGCCATTTGTATAGGATTTTGATCATTTTATTCAAAGAAAACTAATTTTAAACTTCGCAAATATTACCCTGTCCCGCTATAGCGTTTTATAGCAACCATAACTTCAGAAATATTTGTAACCAACATCTAGAATTTCTATAAATTATGATGAAATGAATGACTCAGTTACTCTGAAAATATTGTGCAAAATGAATAATAAACTTTTATGCTAGAGCATTTTTATCAAGACATCTGGATCGGCCCTTATACATCTAAAAATATCTAGAAACTAGACCACATCTTTCTGAGACAGTGAAAATAACAGTTTGCTCAAAGTTCATCAACCTCGTGTTGTACCTTACCCCACACGTTCAACTGTCACATATAATTTGGTACACACCCTGTGCTATAGAAAGCATTGAAATATCCTTGAACCAAGGATTGCACTATTCTGTATCGATAATGTCACTGATATTCATTCACTTGATTGTTAAAGGTAGAACTTTTTATTTTTTAACCTTAATTTTCAGCACCATGTTGAAATAAGAAGTCTTGCTTTCTTACAATAAAACCTTTTTTTCAAAAATACTTTTTTTCTCAGAAATATACAAAATTTGGCTGAGTGATCGTGAAAATTTCCTCTGAAATGTTCTTCACACATGCCAAAACAGCTTTATAAATAAAATAATAAAAATCAGCTACAGGCAGTCAGGCAGCAGGTCAGTTTGACATCTGGCCAATTTCCATCCACACTCTAGATGGCTGTTCTGAAAGTTTATATTCTCCATCTAAATATAATATTTATGTTCCAAGACAGAACATCCAACTTTACAATATGAAAGGAGGAGGGAAAGTATCGCAACAGATTTCGGACAGTCATATGTTGAATTTTGGCTATTTTTTAAGGATTTAAACAGGTACATGTTAGGCCAATGCATAACCTCCAGGAAAAGCACTCATATAGATGATAAAATAATTTTGACTTAGAGACAGTGAAGATGCAAACAACCCACGCACATGTTGCCCTGCTTTTTCTATTTTTGTTGCATCAATATGTTGTCTTTTGACACACAGTTAACCCCCCTAAATGAATTAATGATTCCTTTTAGATAAAGTGGAAAACAATATTTCCCAAGTTATTTTCCCATAGGGAAAACTCATGCAATCCATTGCTTTCAACGCAACATATTGATGCAACAAAAATTTAAAAAAAGCAGGGGTGGAAGGGGTTGAAAATCAGGACAACATTTCAGAAAAAACATGTGGGAGGGTTGTTTGCATAAGTTCCCTGTCTCAAAGTCAAAATTATTTTATCATCTCTATGAGTGCTTTTCCTGGAGGTAATGCATTGGCCTAACATATGCGCCTGTTTAAATCCTCGGAAAATACCCCAAATCCAACATATGACTGTCCGAAATCTGTTGCGATACTTTCCCTCCTCCTTTAGTTAATTATTAGTAATTATAATAATCATGAAAATCTCATAATATTCTTGTCATGAGGTATCTAGCCGAACATGTTCAAGTTTTTAAAACAGATATCAATATTCATATTCAATGGCAAATTTTAAAACCTATCTAAGTGAACACTTCTCTTAAATGAACAGCTGTCCTTTGTGAATGCATGTATCCGACAGACACCTGTCCCCAATAAACATTCTTGAGAACACGCACCTTTGAGCTCTGTATAAGGAATCCTCTGAAGTGGAGCTTACTTCAAAGAACACTTATTGTAGATCCAACAGAGTTTACTTCATACATGTGTTATATATATTCCAACTGGCATTGGATTTACATACAAAGTATTTATATTTCTTATGTTCAAAAATTCTGAGGACCACATCCTTTATGTCAATGGTCACCGATTGACAACAACAACAATAAAAATTATTCATAAACATTTTATATAATTAACACCCCCACATTTGAACTCGAAATCCTACTTTTACTTTAGCAAACATGAGGTTTGGGCAAAATAGCTTCAATACTTATGCCCGGCATATGAGTAGATCTGTTCTTATACCCATCATAAGAGTAGATCTGTTCTTATGCCCGGCATAAGAGTAGATCTGTTCTAATGCCTGGCATAAGAGTTAGATCTGTTCTTATGGCGTTCTTTCCTTTGTATAATTAGAACATTGAGAGACCTAAATGCATTGTGTTTAAGTCATTTTTTCAACGAGGTTCGGGTAGATGTTTCATTTCAGTCCAAATATTTGATACCCAAGGAACAAAAGAAATGTCTGATATGTTTTCTAAAACAATATATAAAAAGGTAGATTAATATTTTCAAATTAAATTATTACCATTCAAAAGATGACCATTACATTGAAGATGTGTAGAATTTTTTTATGACTGCTTTATAAGTTCACCATATTGCTACCAATCCTTTGAATTTTGCAATATGCTACATTTCTTTCATTTACATTCTATGGCTTCTAGTCTGTTGCTTTATGCTGCACCCTAAAATATATACTATATCATGCATGCAAACAATAAAAAACATATTAAAACCAATCCACAAAATTTCTTGAATGGAGAAATGTTTGCCAAAAGACCCATCAATATTCATATGTATATCAGTATTCAACAAAGATTTAGTATAAGTTGAATGACTTTTTAAAAGATTTGTGTATTATGCTGAACTTTCATACTAAACAATACTGTTGGCGTTTTTATGTTGGAAAGAGATTTTATCAAACTGAAACAATTGGTTACAACTCACCTTTAAAAAGCCCTTTTTTGATAAACCATTAAATCTGCAATATAAGCCAAAGTAGTTTATATTTTACATGGGGCTTTTAAGCTCCTAAGTGTCCTCTTGTTGGTCATTTTGTATACATTTACAACGTCCACACATGATTTGTAGAAATTCTTCACGGAATCTACTTCCTCCTACAATGCAGACGTAAAAGTTCAGAGCACTGTTCAGAAAAAAGAACTTTACAAAAAGTTCAATCAGTACGAAAAGTGTGTTGTCATCCTTTTCAACTTTAATTATGTCCATCGCCAATAATGTGATGCCTAACGGGAGTATCAAAATAATCACCGTAAAGGACACGAAAAATAGCATGATTGTGATTGAGAGTTGTCGCCTTTTGAAGACTTCATTTTCAGGTGCTGAGCTGAGGTTGTTCACTTGAAGTTTGCGTTGTCTTATCTTGTAGAGGATAAAGCTATTACACGAGATGAGGATGCAGAA